GGCTCGACCCATGGGCATCTTCTATATATTATTATTTGGTATTTGACTTTTGCACATTTTCTATCTTTATTCCTTCTTCTCTTCCCTTTTTCCCTACCTGTCGCGTATACATATACATTCCCTCTCATTTTCTCATTCCCTACCCTAGCTTTCTATTTCCCCCCCACTCACTTTCACCACAACTTACTCAGGTGAGGTTCTATTCCGTACTGCATGATAGGCTTCCCACTCCTCGTATACCGTAGCACCACCACGAACACCGGGCACCTGCAGGTGGAGGAGGAGGGCCATGCTGGAATCAGAATATCTCTAACCAGTGCCACTTGCAAGTATCAAACAATGAGTCAGAACTACTTTCCTACAGTGAGGAATTGAAGATCAAGGCTGAAAATGGAGTCGCCATTTTGTCCAACTTAAGTATCGACTGTGTCAAGCCTAAGTATCAAATTGACGTCAGAATGCTTCGCCACTTTTGTCATTAGAGAGCATGCCTAGGGTCAGAAATACGGTGTCATAAATAGAAAACGACTGACATAAGAAAATCAGCCATTGTGTCATACAAGTTAATGTCATTAATTGTTTAGACTGACAGGCATTCCAGGTGTCACGTATGAGAGAGAGTCAAGCTGGTGTTATAAGCCAGAGGGCCTGGACACTTCCAAGCCTTTGATGCCCAGGATTGTTACACTATAGATTGTGATATTAAATAATGCAACACAAGTTTGGGAAAGAGTTTAGAAGTAGAGCTCCAGGAGGCAGACCCCAGCGAACCAAACAAGAGTAACGTCAAATAAACGTCATGTACCCATATTATCCTGAGAGATACGGAGACACGTCTCAGCAGACGACTGGAAACACCTAAAAAAAGACCGTCGGATCAGAAATAATTATACTTAGAAGCATAAGCTTAGGAAAAGAAAGATGAGAGTTTAGGCTACAAAGTCAGGAGTCTAAGAACTGAAGCACAATCACAGAGGCAGTACAACAAACACATGTGTGTGAGAGAGAGGCGTGGAGTAGGGGAGATAGATACTATCTTTGTAACCTTGGTGTTAGAGGAGAGGACTGCTGGGGCCATGGAGAATGGTCCCAGCAGCGCAGGGGTCCGCGGTGAGGTACATCAACGCCTGCTCCTGTAACCTATTCACATCTTTCTGTCAGACAGTAAGGTTGGCCGGCACCCACACACACCCCGGGGCGGCCAGCACCCACACTCACCCCGGGGCGGCCAGCACCCACACACACCCCGGGGCCCAATAATATGAGCCCTTCCTTGTTCTGGTTTATGAGATCTATGTCCCCGCGGCCTGGGGACTCCGCTTGATAACCTACGCCGGCCAGCCTATTGTAATGTATATGAAACGAATGGAAAGAAAAGAATAATGACATAATGTGTGAGGGGTTTGGGGTGAGGGAGGTAGAAGGGAGGAGTAAGGAGAATGGGACTAGCCACATACGTTAGGCTGCGAGCAGCCGCGTCTAACAGCCTGGTTGATCAGTCCAGCAACCAGGAGGCCTGGTCGACGACCGGGCCGCGGGGACACTAAGCCCCGGAAGCACCTCAAGGTAGCCAGGAGTGTGGTCAGGTGAAAGGGAAAGTTTGAAAAGAGGCGGAGGGAAAGACTGAGAACATGGAGAGGAGTAGAAAGTAGAAGGTAGAAAGATGATGTAGAAGTAGAAAGTAGCTACCACCATCCATTTTAACTCAGTACATATAAGACACGGAATGGAACTTGTCTGTACTCTAGGCTGTTATCAAATGTATCTGCTGTCAGCATGTACTTGTATATTATAATCTTAAAACCAGTAAGCTCAGAGTACTCTACACTCTAGCCTGCAATATATCAGAAAATCCAAGATCTAGGGAACAAAATTAAAGTAAATTTAAACAATAAATTCATCAATGATATATTTAACATGATAAGTATCATAATTCAAGCAATTTAATTTAATGTTCACAATGTCAAGATTATCAAGGTTCACAGATACAATGCGAGTCACCACACAAGAATCTGAGGCCACTACGACTGACTGCACCTGAAATCACACAACACCTTCAGTTGGAAACACCAAATGTGTCACCTTACAGTTTAACTCGCCAAGTGTCTGAGCCTAAGTTGGATAGGGAGGGAGTGGCGGGGCGTGACAGGCAGTCCCTTTGTCCGGCCGACAGCCTGGTCTCGGCTGCTGGTCAATCGTCCAGCTTGTCTGCTCTGTTCTCTGCTGATCTTGATTCATTCATTCATTTCATTTTAAATATAGGACAAGATACCCATTCGGGTGAGCTTTGAAGTGGGTATAGGTGAAGAATAGCTTGGGTGAGAGGAAGCGTCGGAGTTGGAGAGACAGAGCCAGGGCTAGACCCAGCTGCACGGCGTAAAATGAGGCTTCCTGAACTCCTGGCTGGCTTAGGCGAGGCGGGCAGGGTCCCGGGTGAGGGGCGGCGATGTCTTCTTTCCTCTTGATGTGTGGAGTCTTCTTTCTTCTTTGAAGCTGGAGTCTTCCGTCTTCTGTCTTGCACGTCGGTCTGCTCCGAAGCTTGCAGGGATTCCACCACCTCAAAACGAGCAAAATTAGGTCCCTATCCCCCTAAAGAGAGGAAAGAGGGCGGCTGCCCTAAGTGAGGTTCAGGTTTTCAGAGTGTGTATTCACTTTCGTCTGGTCTTCTTGCTGGGTGCAATGTCACTGTTGGGGGTTTGAGGGCGCCATGCACGTCCCAGGATTAGTTTTGGGATAAGGTCATCCCTGGTGTTACCGAAATGAGTATTGCCATTTGGGCGTACGCTGACAAACTGGCTTGTCTTCACATCCACGAGTTCAGTAGACTTCTTGTCGCCGTTAGACATTAGGAATCTTCTGGGAGGTGACCATTCCTTGAGTTGTGCATATTTCAAAAGATTCTTGATCGAATGTAGACATTATGGTATTTCCATCTGCATCGGTGTATGTTGGGTCCTTTAGGCCGACGTAGAAGGTCGACAGTCTGGGGTCCCGGTTTTCGACGTTCACCAGGTAGGTCTATGTCTATGGCTGTAACACCTGTTCACTCCTGTGGTTGTGGTCTGTACATCACAATCGACTTGAGAATGGTCCAGGACGGACCGAAACGTCGTCGTCCCTTCACTTTCTAGTGTGTGGTCTGGTCAGCATATTTCAGTCATGTTGTGACTCTCCGTCTGCACAACTGTACTGACTTTTATACATTACTGATAAATGTAGCCTATGCAGTATGTTAAAAAAAAAGTCCACGTTATGGTGGACCTCGAGGGGGGCCTCGTAGCCTGGTGGATAGCGCGCAGGATTCGTAATTCTGTGGCGCGGGTTCGATTCCCGCACGAGGCAGAAACAAATGGGCAAAGTTTCTTTCACCCTGAATGCCCCTGTTACCTAGCAGTAAATAGGTACCTGGGAGTTAGTCAGCTGTCACGGGCTGCTTCCTGGGGGTGGAGGCCTGGTCGAGGACCGGGCCGCGGGGACACTAAAAAAAAGCCCCGAAATCATCTCAAGATAATCTCAAGATGGTCAAATCCACAAGGGCCATGACGAGGGTTCGAACCCTCGTCCGAGAGTATCCCAGATGCTCTCAGACGAACCCTCGTCACGACCCTTGTGGATTTGTTCATTTGATGCATCACGCTATTGTTACCTCTGTGCTCCACGTTATGGTGTTACAATGACTTACTCTTCAGGAAATAATGTACTGTAATTTTATGTAAATTAATTCGATTATAAACGTACAAACATTTACAAATAAAAGTTTTTGAATCTGAGATTATATTTATATATATACACACACACACGCAGTTCAATACCCGCCATCTTCAGTATATTACAAAAGAAAATTCTTGCTAAATATTAGTCCTATCCTAAACAGCAATGTAAACGATATTTTTTTTACGTACAGGATTCACACACATATATTAAGGTAACTTATACACTTCAGCAGACACTTAAAACTAAAATAGTTTACCTGTAGACGCCCAAACATTACATTAAGAACAGAATACTGAAGGAATTGGCGTCGGTGTTAAGCAATGGCGTCGCCTGGAGGAGGTTGCTGGTACTGACGACCCGAGCACACACACACACACGTCACCAGCTGCTTGTTGTTATTGTTTTAGATTCAGCTACTGGGAACAAGGTCCAAGTAGCACGGAGTATGGTGAGCCCGTCGGGCCTTTGCAACTGTCCTCCGTCCTTGGATGACAACTCCAGCTATGTCAGTTGGTATAGATGGGGTTGGAGAGTTGTTCTTGAGGAATTTACAGGGGCGGTAGTCCTGCTAGTAGAGGGATTAGCGTGTGGGACACGTCCTCCCTTCACCACGTTACTTCCCAGACTGCTGGGAAGTCATGTAGTTCCTGGCGTGGTCACCCAGCCAATCACAGCCACGCTCCCGATATAAGCACCTCTTCAATATTTAATCTACACTAAACCATTACATCACTTGTAATGAGACATCGGATTAACGTAGATTGTAATCTAAATAATATTGAACACATGCGGTAAAGGATATTTACTCTTGAAGTAATATGTAATTTACTACTAATATGAATTACCTAATGATAGCAGCCTTTAATAACCTTTCAGAGGTTGATAAGCCTTAATTAAATATGTTCGTTGCAATGATGCAACCAGCTTCATATTTTATAATTAATGAATTTGTATGGACAATAACAAGTTTTACTATTCCACATAATAGTATCCAGATAGATTTACCTAAATTTACCCGAGGGCGACTCTCTCTAGTGGCCTCGAAGAGCACAGGAAGCCGGCGGCTTGTCTAAGATCTTCATCCCCATTTGTCCTCATGATTTTATGATTTGTATACACATGTCAAATTTTGGCAATTATTGAGATTTTTAAGTAAACCCAATTTTCCAAAATTGCTATAGTGAAAAGCATCTTATGATATCAACCGTTGTTTAGGTGTATATGGGAAATAAAAATTAACAATTATACACGAGAGGATATTAATGTTTAAAAGAAATTGCAAGTTGTAAGTATATATATCTATATGAATATAATTCAATTACATATGATTATAATTTAAATTTTTAATAAAAAAATCAAATGACTAAATCATTGAGAAACCCTCAGCTAGGCTTCTAGGGAATATTTGTCAAAGTTGTCCACCCAGGAGGCGTGCTAGAAGAAAAATGACAATCTCGAGAAAGAGGCAGAGATACAATAAGAAAATTATAGATTAAACAACGGTCTTTCATACTAAGTAAAAGGTTCTCGAGGTGCTATGAAAAGAATTCATTAGAGAGAAATGAAAAGACTATCTAGATGTTAGTACTTCAATTTAAGAGGCAAGTTGTATATTGACAGGAAATCTGTCTTAGATACAAGGAGAACATCCGAAGAACAAACCAAGGTACCGTTGTGTCAGCCAGCATCTCGACCAAGAACAAATTTAAAACTAATAAAATGGAAGAACAATACCAGAAATGACAAGAAAATTATTGCTAATAACGCTCCTTTTGCCAACGAAATGTTCAAGGGCTCTATTTTGTCCATGAAAAGCAAACGTCTCATAAAATGACAAATAACAGGACACCGGAATACATCTACTCTCTTCAGCCTTCTTTTTTATGGAAAAATACATCAAGTGACTACCAACTTCCTGTGACCCAAGTTTAAGGCACATTGCCGACTTAAAACAATTATAAAAAAAAAAAAAAGAGAACAGGAAAATGGTGTTCTTAGATGACATGGAAATCCTTCAAGAAGCTGGCGGCTCTCTGCATCATGATGGTCAGGTCGGAGACGTGCCTCTTGATCTGTTCCTCTCTCTCTTGACGCTCTGTGTCAGTCAACTTCTCCATGTTGTACAGCAGGTCGGTAATTCCTGGGAAGCCGGACGCGGCGTATTTGTCGAACTGACTCTCGGCGAACACCGCGTGTCTGAAAGAGATTTGACACATTACACACACACATATATATATATATATATATATATATATATATATATATATATATATATATATATATATATATATATATATATATATATATATATATATATTATATATATATATATATATATATATATATATATATATATATATATATATATATATACACATACATACACATTATATATATATATATATTTGTTATATATATATATATATATATATATATATATATATATATATATATATATATATATATATATATATATATATATATGTCGTACCTAATAGCCAGAACGCACTTCTCAGCCAACTATGCATGGCCCAATTTGCCTAATAAGCCAAGTTTTCATGAATTAATGTTTTTTCGACTACCTAACCTACCTAACCTAACCTAACCTAACTTTTTCTGCTACCTAACCTAACCTAACCGATAGAGATAGGTTAGGTTAGGTTAGGTAAGGTTGGTTAGGTTCGGTCATATATCTACGTTAATTTTAACTCCAATAAAAAAAAATTGACCTAATACATAATGAAATGGGTAGCTTTATCATTTCATAAGAAAAAAATTAGAAAAAATTTATTAATTCAGGAAAACTTGGCTCATTAGGCAAATCGGGCCTTGCATAGTAGGCTGAGAAGTGCGTTCTGGCTATTAGGTACGACATATATATATATATATATATATATATATATATATATATATATATATATATATATATATATATATATATATATATATATATTAGTATATTTTGGTAGCAGTCTTTCCTGTAGACATATATTATTAAATATGACCGAAAAAGTAAGATTAATAATTCTAACACGAATTTTCTCAATCTTTCGTACATTTCTTTTCACTGTTGGTGGTAATTTAAAAATCAATTCTCCAAAATTCATTTTTATTTCTAGTCTGACGTGACACTTGAGCGCGTTTCGTAAAACTTATTACATTTTCAAAGACTTTAGTTTACACACACACACACACATATATAATATATTATATATATATATATATATATATATATATATATATATATATATATATATATAAAATATATATATATATATATATTTTATATATATATATAATATTATATATATATATATATATATATATATATATATATATATATATATATATATATATATATATATATATATATATATATATATATATATATATATATACACACACACACACACACACACATATATACTTATACATCAGACAGTACAAAGAGCACCTAATGCTAATTTTGTAACATAAGTATCTACCACCCCATTATAATGTAGGAAATGGCTATGGTAGCGCTAATAATGTGATCTCAGATGTTTGTTAAGAATAACAAAACAGATAAGGATAGTGTCCTATAACATTAAATAAAGCTCCACGAAGCCTACTGGAATGATAAGGTATGCATCGTGGCTTAGCACCATCAGGCTAGTATGTTAATACCAACATATTATTATCATAGTCAGGCACGTACCTGATTTGTGGTCGTCCAGGCAGACCTGCTGGAAGAATAAACACCTGTTCCAACTTCATCATCTGGTCGTTGATGGCTCGAATGGTGAGTGGACTGTACGAGAAAAATATATTTTAATATTTAAAGTTTGTAGCATGTTAAACTCAAGTTTGATATACAAATTTTGCTTCATTCAGGTGATTGAGAGTATTTATCACGTGTTTAAAATTATGAGTCATTAGTCATGTTTTACAGATAAACGAGATCATATTAATGTAAAAGATAGGATATGTGTTTATGAGTCACCCACATGCTGTTCATCTCACCAATCCTCCCCCTCTCATTCCCTCCCATCCTAGTCCCCTCACTCACTCTAAGTCCTCACTCCTCTTCTCCTTCAGGACCCTGGAGAAGATCGTAGACTCGTACGTAAAGTTCATCAGTGATTCCTCAAGAAGATCTGTAAAAATGTTTTGATTTAATACTGTATCTGCAGTGTAAACTTGCATTTTCACTGTGAACTCTCGATAATACTGCGATAAAACTGAACCATTTAGAGATACATCTAAACTCACGCTACATGAAATTGTAAAAAAAACTTATTACTAAGGATAAAGATACCTGAAATCCTTGCACTGTATCCATGTTTTACTTCCAGTAGATTTTTTTTTTTTTTTTTTTTTTTTTTTTTTTTGAGATATATACAAGAGTTGTAACATTCTTGTACAGCCACTAGTACGCGTAGCGTTTCGGGCAAGTCCTTAATCCTATGGTCCCTGGAATACGATCCCCTGCCGCGAAGAATCGTTTTTTCATCCAAGTACACATTTTACTGTTGCGTTAAACAGAGGCTACAGTTAAGGAATTGCGCCCAGTAAATCCTCCCCGGCCAGGATACGAACCCATGACATAGCGCTCGCGGAACGCCAGGCGAGTGTCTTACCACTACACCACGGAGACTGGTAAAATGACATACGATATAAAGGAACAAATAGTGTAGTATGAAGACTAACAATAATAAACAGCAGCTTTACTATCACCCTGTAATACTACCATAGCTAAAACAGTTATGTATTAGCGAAAAGGCCTACCTTACCATCCAATGATTAATTGTAAATACATAGCTATTGAAATGGAACCGTCTATGTTACTAGCTGACATTATAAGGTGTGCAGGATAGATGTAATTATTAATGTAATAATCTCCGTTGAGGTCTGTTGAAGACCTTTTGTTCCGTTTGTAATTCTTTTTGCCCTACTGCTCTCAGGATGAGTATGGGATTCATAATAAATTATCCGCCTCCGGCAGTGACAAACAAATCCATCACTATTACATCTTCAATACAGTAGTATGGGCGATATTCCCTGGCCTCTGGAGGGTTTTCACACAAAGAAAAGTCTCTTGTGGCCAACCCGCCGGAGGAAAGAAGACCATTGAGGGCAACTATAAAAAGAGTAGTGCTCAGAACACTACCTTGAGGTACACCCTCATATTGCCTAAAATGGGCAGAGATAGTGGTACCAAGCCTCACTCGAAAGGAACGACGAGAGAGGAAGCTTTGGAGGAAGAGAGGGAGATAACCATGAAGGCCAAAAGAATGAAGTTGGGACAGAATATGATATCAGCATGTGGTGTCTTAAGCCTTTTCCAGGTCAAAAAGGACGGCAACAACGGAGGTCTTCGCAGCAAAAGAAGTACGAATATAGACCTCCAAGTTCACCAGGACATCTGTCGTGCTGCGGCACTTGCGGAAACCAAATTGAGAAGGGGAGAGGAGGTGATGGTGTTCCAGGAACCACATCAGACGAACGTTAACCATACGTTCAGAGAGTTGTGCAGACACAACTTGTGAGGGCAATAGGGCGAAACTCCTTAGGGGATGTTCCCAGAGACCCTGGTTTGCGAACAGGGATGACAACGGCATCGAGCCAGTCCTCAGGGACTGACGACGACTCCCATATCCGATTATACAGACTCAGTAAATACTGAGACGCGCATGGAGGGAGATGGCGAAGCATCTCATAATGAATGCCATCAGAGCCCGCTGTCGTAGAACCACAGAGGGCCAGGGCAGACTGAAGTTCAGAGAGAGAGAGAGAGAGAAAGGGATCGTTATAGGGGAAGACTGAGATGGGTGCAAAAATCTAAAGAACGAGATTCAAGAACAGCTTACGAAGAAGGAAAGATTGAGGAAGATGAGAACCAGAGCTAACAGATGAAAAGTGGGAACCCAGTTCGGTCGCGACCTGCAAGGGGTCCGCCACAAGAGTACCACAGAGGTAAAGGACTGGTGAGACATCGGGAACGCACTTACCCGCTATCTTGCGGATACCCGCCAAACACACAAAGAAACTACGACGTTGGTACAACGTTCCGACAAGTTTTAACACCACCTAACCAGTTGTAATAACCAATATAGCAAGTTGTAACAACGTTCTAATACGTCATAAACACGTTAAGCCAAGATGTAACAACTTTATTACAAGTTGTAACAAGCGGAAAATAGAGACAGTTTCGGTTTGTGTTTCCAGGGTACGCTTCCAGATCTGCGGTCTGGAAGCGTCCAGATCTTCCAGAGTTTCGGACGTAATGGTGGAAACATAAGACTTCCAACACTCACGTTTAGCTGTACGGATGGTCCTACGGGCCACCGCATTCGCCTTCCGAAACAAAAGAAAAGAATCGCCCGTCTGTCGGCGGCGGTGTCTCTTCCAGGTTGCACGCTTACAGCGGACAGCCCGAGCACAGTCCACATTCCACCAGGGAACGCACTTCCGCGTTCATACTCTCTCTCACAAATTAGTGGGCAATGATCTAAAAAAATAATTTTTTCCCGGGGAGGACTGTGTGTGAAACTTCAGCGGCCACCTCTGTAGCCTAGATTATTTTAAATTGAATTATCACTTTCAATCAGGCTGTCACTCTTATAGATGGGTTCTACGGCATTATTTTTGTTTTTCAAATATCGTTTTCTACACAGCGAATGCTATGGGATCGTAGGTAAGCTCTTAATATCAAATGGCATCAGGCTTAAGGAATTTGTAAGTGTTCTGGCCTGAAGAACAACCCGCAACATTTCATTTAAGTTTCTCACTTGCGTTAAACAGCACAAAATATTTGAGAAGAATTCATCATAATAAATAGGGGGTACAATACAGATTAATCTCTCTCAAATGGCAAACTACCCCAGACTCACAATACTTGTCATATATACTGATGAGTTTGTCTCGCTTGCCGCCTTTCCTGAGGGCATCGAGAGCATCCTTCATGGCCTTAGGTAGGTGCTCCAGGCTGTACGGCAGAAGTACGGAGTCCGCGAAGTACCTGAGTGTGAGGGCAGCGACCCGGCTGCAGCCCTGGTGGATCCTGAAGCCCGGGTCCATGTGTTTATCCATCATGTAGAAGGTCTCGTAGCCAGTGTGGTATGAGGGGTAGGTGGTTATATTGTACTTATTCTGGGGAAAGGAAGATGTAGCAGTGGTAGAGTACATATGGAACTACAGCACAAGGCGTGTGGAATTGTAACTTATCGCACAAATCATCAATCTACCGGAACTGTGAAACAATAATAATTATTATTAATTATTATTGTTTCACAATCATGGTTACCAATGTTACCTCGTCTATCTCAAACCCCAAATCCAAACATGGGATGCCGCAGTAGAAAGCAAACGCGGCGTGGTCGGTTCCAGACCCCAAAGTTTCCATCCTGTGAGGAAAATACACTTCAATTAATAGCCAGCCCTGTCCATCTTAATCATATTGTGGACTATAATGTCACTCATCCATCATTTATGTTAATCGTATATTAATATCGCCTTTTCATCTTCGAATTATATTACGTTGCTTAAAACACTATAGTAATTGTGTTTGTGCCCTACATTATATTCACTTTTTATATTATTACTAGCAGTACCCAGCCACGCGTTGCTGTGGCTCAGCAACGCATGTGCATTGCTGAGCCACAGCAACCTTTCCTGTCCCCCCACCGTTCCCCTCTCACTCGACTTTTCGGCCTCACAACCATTCCCCACTTCACCGTCCCCTCGTTCTCCCCACTCCACCATCCCCTCTTCCTTCCCACCATGCCCCACTCCCCTGTCCCTTTGTCCTCCCCACCATTCTCCATTCTCCCATCCCCTTGTCCCCATCATCACACACTCGTCCTTCCCCACCATTACCACCTCCCTTGTCCCCTCGTCCTCCCCACCATTCCCCACTCCCTCGTTTGATGCCTTCCCAAATGGTCTGATGTTCCCATCAGAAAATTGGGAACATCAAGTGATCTGATGTTCCCATCAGAAAATTGGGAACATCAAGTGATCTGATGTTCCCATCAGTGATATACAAGAAAAACAGTTAAAAATTAAAAATATGAAATAAAGAAATAAACTATACTCACGAAATGAACAATATGGTAAACAACACAGCTCAATTCCAACGCAATTCACACAAAATAATTAAATCAAAATTAAAATAAATCAAAATCTATGAAAATTCAATTTATTAACGCAATCAGAAACACTGAAATGGAATTATAACATTTAGTATAGCATGTGTGTTGCTCTTACACGCAACAGATGGCGCTGTTTTTCAAGAAGAGCATAGTTTTACCTGTCACAGGTGTGGCATCTATACTTACAAAATGAATGGTATGGTAAACAACACAGCTCAATTCCAACACAATGTCACACTAAATAATTCAATAAAAAATATAATATATCGAAATCTATGAAAATAAAATTTATCTATGCAATCGGAAACACTGAAATGGAACTCTTGACATATTTAGTATAGCGTGCATGTTGCTATTATGTGCAACAGATGGCACCGTTTCTCAAAAATGCATGTATTTACCTGTCACAGGGGTGGTATCTATATAGTAGGTATATGAAAAGACGCGCCTATTCGAATGCAACGTTGTGTCAAAATTTCAAAGCAATCGGTGAAGAACTTTCGGAGATTAGTGATTTTGAACAAACGAACATTTCCAATTTTATTTATATAGATTATTATATTCACTTTTCCACCGAGATGTATCTTTCAATATATTTAACGTACAGAAGTTTAGCCGAGGTCAATGCAGCTTATATCAATTCACGGTTCTCACAGAAGATAAACCTCGTTATAATAAATGTTATTAATTACAAGAATTTTAGTGTTTGCGGCTGAAAATATTAAAACAAAATGATTAACGTTGGGATCAGTTTTGATGTACTTTTTAGTTAGTCACACTTACGATTTATTTTTAATCATAAGGTGTGTAACAAACTGTACCGTTATGGGATAACCTAATATCTGAATTTCAAAAACTGATATTTCCAAAGTACATTTAATTAAAATCAAAATATATTTGTAAATTTGCTCAAAATGCCGTGATTAGTGGCCTTGTACATAAAAATATTGCATTACTTAACCATATATGTACATAATGTAACATAACTGATGGATACATATATATCCTTTACTTTTAGTGTTGTATCCTCTCACTTTCACCCAACTTACTTAGGTGAGGTTCTATTCCGTACTGCGTGATAGGCTTCCCACTCCTCGTATACCGTAGCACCACCACGAACACCGGGCACCTGCAGGTGGAGGAGGAGGCTATACTGAGATCAGAATATCTTTAACCAGTGCCACTCACAAGTGCTAAACTGGAATCAGTAGTACATTGATACATGAAGTGTCAAGACTGAGTCACACAAGCATTGCCTCTGTCAAGCTGAAGGGTGAAACTGGAATAAATTATAGTTTGCCACTTTGCTAAGTTGAAGTGTGAAATTGTGGTCAGAAATAATTTGTAGTTGAAAGTGTTAGGCATAAAATAAACACAAGTGACTGGTTTCTTAGATGGAGGGAGTGAGAGAGTGAAAGACATACCATCTTGGTAATCATGGTGATGGAGTCCCAGAAAAGAGGGCTACTGGCCACATTGATGATGGGTCCCTGGACACAGATGTCCATGTTGAGGTACATCACCGCCCGCTCCTGTAGCTTGTTCACGTGTTCCTGTGAAACACACCAAAACATGACAAGATGCACTGGCAAGATCGTAGGATATAACATTTTATTGAGGAAAGAACGTGAGGAGTTGCTTTAGAACGTGTGGAGGGATGCATTAGCCTTAGACTAGGAAGGCTGAAGGGTGTAATGGGAAATTTTTAGGCCATGGTTGATATCTTCCTAAATGGCAGGGTGCTTTGGGATGCTTTTGAGCCTTGAAAGCTACTCCCGTCTGTGGATGGGTTGATAAGCATGCTTTAAGACATTACATGCTATTGTGGTTAATTCATATGAGATCCTGCAAAAAGCACTTTTATTGATTGACACCAGAAAGACCCTGTAGTCTAGAACAGGACATCGTAGATAACTGAGGGAACATTGAAGGATCCCAAAGATCCTAGGCTCCTGCGAGACTGGCATATGAAGTCTCGTGCCATAGGACTATTGACATGACATGGTACTGTATTTCATGTTTTTCTTTGGTGTCGGACTTAAGGTCAATCAAAACTGGGATGTAAATCAAGGCTACCACAATACCTTATTGACCAACCAGCGGGTATACTCTAGGCACTAACATAATGCAGGACTAAAATAAACTCAGCGCATATACACCAAAGAGCGAGACACTTCCAAGGCCTCGTAGACAAAGGAACACAGCTGAAAGCTTGGTAGCAAGGTGTGGGATCACATGTGAATAGCAAAGTTCAGGACATCAAAACATGACTGAGGACTTGAATGGAGTAAGGTGCTGTATGACATGTTAAGTTCCTGTAGGACCTAGTGAAACATGACTGAGGACATGCTACGAAGTCGTGTGAGATTTGCATAAAGTGCCTACATTTGAAAGTAAAGTGCAATGATCTATTTTATAATTAGCAACAATCACACGTAGAATGAACAGTGAATCATTCCATAATCTCTAGTCCCTTAAGTTAAACTAAACTATTTTTTCAGGTATTAGGGACAAAATGCCGGTAAATAATCCCAACTGTTGTATTTTGTATATACTGTATATGTATATAAATTGCCAACCACCATATCGTGGATGATAACATTTCATTCACTTGAACCGTGAGGGCCTCGAACCGCAGACCACACAAGCCAGCAGCTTTTCCTACTGAGACACCAGCACCCACAACAAGGAAGGATTCCAGTCACGTATCTACTGCTAAAGTAAGTAATTATCAAAAAGAAGGCACCAAACCAGGAAGGCTATGTAGCACCATCAAATGTGCAGAATAATCAGAGGGCGCTAAATATCACCAAGGATGCCAATACGAGAACAGAAATGCACAAGGTGAACGATATCAAAATTATCCGATTCACCAAGAATTCTATCGAGGGACAAGTGACTGCGAGGGACGGTCGGAAAGCAAGACACGCTCATCCTGGAAGTCAGGACATTCAACAAGGATATGCACAACTGTAAGAAGAACAATACAATTTTTTGGACACTAAGGAGCAGGGCGGTGCTCCATTAAGTGACCGTGAGTTAAACATGTATGGCCAATATGCAACCTCGCAAGAGCCGTTTCCCATCGCCAGTTACGGTAGTAGGAGGAAGGCCACGAGGACACACTACCCTTAAGAGCTCGCAATTTATTACCAGTAACAGAAGACCAACAATCCTGCCAACAGGTAAGGATTGAGGAATGAATAACCGGGTAAAAGTTGGAATAAGGAATACCTTTACGGGAGATGGGACAAGAATGGACAGCTTCCCTAGCGGCAGCGTCCGCACGCTCATTTAAAGAAACGCCAATATGGCTGGGAACCCAGCAAAACTCGACTGACTTAAATTTATTGGAAATAAGAAACAGCCAATGTTGAATCTCGACGGCACTACGAGAGAAAACGACGCCCACAAAAGAAGATTGACAACAAGAAAGCAGGAGACGAAGAGCATAGATAATAGCATAAAGTTCAGCTGTGAAGATATTAGTCTCCGAAGGTAGGCGACACATATAAGTGTGGTCAGGAAAAACAACAGAGTAGCCAACACCGTCTGCAGACTTAGACCCATCGGTGAAGATGGAAACGGAGCGGGAGTGAAGAAAAGTGCTCAAGGAAAAGGCGTTTCAGAACCGTAGGAGCGGTAAAACTTTAGTGATATGGGTCAAGGATGTACAAAATTTTGGAAGTGGACTCTCCACGGGGGCAAGGAATGAACAATACGAGGAGAAACATTAGAAATACGAACCGAAAGAGAATCCTGTAAGCGAGATAAACAGACAGAGGAAGGTGGTGAAGAGCAACAGGAACAACAGGAGGGGTAGAAGTCAAAGCACGACAGAGGCGAGAGGAAGGATGTTGCAAGGACCACGCAAGATAACGAAGATAGTAGCGATCACTGCGGTCCTGAAGAGATAGAAAGCCAGTGTCAACATATAAGCTGAGGGTGGAAGTCGAACAAAAGACACCAGAGCAGAGGCGCATCTACTGTTCAGTTGGAACTTTTGGCTTTCTCTGGGCCTATTTTATATGACTAAGACGTGGAATTTCCCCAACACACATGCCAAAGTGGCACCTCCAGGGAAGGCCTAAAGTTCCGGTTGGACAGCAGATAGGTGTCTCTGGAATTATTTCTTATTGTGGGTGCTGATGGCTCAGTAGGTAGCGCTGTGGGGTGCTGCCTAAAGTAACGTACAGTGGCTGCCTATCCCCAATAAAATTAATTATATAACAGCGTATACATGTTGGGAACAAAGCTTTAATTGACTGTTTCCTTAGACTAGGGTGAGACTACATCTGTGATCACCCATCCAGACACTGATCACTTGCTTTTACATTTGTCATAGTTGGGTATATATTGTGTATTAAATAAGTAATTTTATGAGTTGTTTTACTGCATTTCAAATAACAGCGCTTTTTTTTTTTTTTTTTACTAATTCTAGTCTTGATTCTTGAAATTTATGGAGGTTTAGGATGTATTCTATCATGATAAAGGGAAATTATCCATTAGAAATCCCCGCCTAAACCCACTACACAGTGACGTACCTCGACCCACTCAGTGGAGCCTGTGAGACCATACTCTTCGGCGCCCCAGCTGCAGAACACCAGAGTTCGTCGTGGTCGCCACCCTTCACGAAAATGGCCGACAAATTTGGAACAGTTTACAATATTTACATTTTGTTTTATGGAGAAACTTACTACAATGAAATGTAGTAACTTACTACAATATTTTTGAATAAAGGTGAAAGCAAAACCTTTAATCTACACGTGTAAGTGCATTATTTAAACAAATTATTTAATAATACATTTACTGGGTCTTGGGTATTGGGGCTTGCTTTTAGCTTCATTTGGTTCTCTTTATTGAATACAGTCATTATAACATGATTCTATGTAATGCATCATAACATACATCACGAACGTGGTTCTTGCACTTCAATATTTAAAAAAATATGACTGGTTACACGTTAGGCTTTGTGCCTATAACGTGAGCATTAGGCCTTAAGCCTATTACACACTGACTAATCAGCACGAATACTTTAATCTTGAGCATAGTTTAGAACTGCAGTAAACTCATTAAGTACACATACCATGAAAAAAGAAATATGTCTGTATATACTGAATATCCAATTCGTTCTCCTGAATAGTATATCGCATTTTGACGCATAATTTCCCCAAGGTCAAAAATGAAAGTTGCTCGCAAAATTATTGATGTCTCGTTTTCTGTTAGTAAGAATGGACCGCTGTACTGGGGTGCAGCCTGTCCTCCTAAGGTTTCCCACCGTCAAGACAACGGTCAAATTAAAATGTCCTCTCCTAACCTACCAGAGGAACTGTAACAAACTAGGTTTGTTGTAGGGAATTATTCAGTATGGTTTCTCATAGACATGGGGTTTTTTGAAATTTTGGAGTCGGACGGTACTTGACCTGACTCGAGTAGAAAAAGGTCATCTCTCCTGGGATTAGCGGTTAAGATTACAAAATGGCCGGCACCTTGTCTTAAAGCAACGAATAATGAATTTGACAGAATTCAGTAATTTAGAGAAATTCAAGTCTTCATTCAAATTGTATTCAATAGTGTTCCTGTTCATGTATCAAGAGTATTCTCAATTGTCGGAATACTGAGTAAGTCACTGTCTGTGACATCACTAGCAGAGGACTAGCCTCTGACGCGGATCAATCTTGGCGACCCTGGGTCAAGGGCCACCAAAGCTTCCATATTTAGTAATTCTCAAAGTTCAAATAGCCATTTTGTAATTGGAAATAGCCTTTCCCTAAGATGCCTGTGCAATTATCTTCAGTTTAAAAGAGTTCAACCATCTGGGTTGTTCAGTACAACAGAGATTAGTTGTTCAACTTAAACCCTGCTAGTAAACTAGTAACCTGGTGTAGGAATACCCCTCTGGCTTCAGTGGTGAGCAGAGCGAGGTAGAATCAGTGTGGACTAGGCCAGCGACTGAGGAGGGCAACCATCTCCACCTCTTCACAAGATCAGTACTACATCTAGCTGGTCGCATTAAGAGGTATAGTTGTTACGGTTTTGTATAGGTAAATTAGTTCATTTTCATGCCTCGATAGGGAGTGATATTTTATTTAGCCATTTAGATGTTGCATTAATAAATAATTAGCTTGTTATTTGTATTTTATTATTTCCATTTTTGAACGTGTCCATGTCCTTGTCACGTGGTCTCCACGAGTCTGAAGTTTTAGTTGGGCCGCAAGCCTATCAAGGTTTAAGAGTTCATTTATCCCTTTGTTCGCTATAATTCCCACACTTAACGTAGATTCTTCCCCCCTTTTCCAAGTAATTTGGGGATCAAGCCCCTAGGTTTTAATGATCGATTAATCGGTCCAGACCCTGATTAATTGACGCTTCTGGTTAATGGTCTGGTGGTGGCAGCAGAAGGAGATCCTTGAGTTTGCTAGGAGTCTAGTACCACGTCGTCCCGGGGGCTGTAGAAGCTTAGCCGATCGAACGGCTAAGACCACGTGGCGTGGGATTTGGCTAGAGTAGCTCGGGGTTCCCTTGGTATAAAGTAGAAGAAAATAGAATATGGGCAGGGGTAAGGGTGAAGGTTAGAGAGTCGATACCCCTCACCCCCCTTTACAAAACCATAACAGAAAACGGAACATTATGTCACTTTCGCAAACCACTTCCATTTTCTTGTACGACAATTTTTGGCCTTGTGAAACGCAAACAAGCGAAATGTGACGTTCTTTGTAGAGGACAAAAGTTTTTGTGGCACTGAAGTCTAAACACCTACTTGAATTAGTCAAATTATGCCAAACAAAAATGCAATTATATAAAAAAGATTCAAAAGAGCAAAAGCTGCAATAAAATTAACAACTGTAGCGAGTAAACAATATACTCACTACAGTCTCTCATTATCTTAATGGCATAACTAATTAGCACTAACTACACAAGCTATAATCCTATCCCTATTTACAGGTAACATTCTTTCCATCCTGGTTGGAGGAAGCTGAGGTGTCGTCACCGAATATAAGCAAGCGAATTGCGAATAGCCAACAGTACAATTTCCACAGTCAAGAATGTAGCACTGTGTATGCAGTTCTAATCGACCCCAAGACGCTACAGCTTCGACACAGAACAGACAGCTGACTAGGACCGCATCGAGCTACATCACTCTCCCACAGAGCTGCGCGACTCTGGCCACACTCGGCTCTGCTCTGCTCTAAGCTCCATCTCAACGTCCACGACACTGCTGTATCCAAGACTACTAATAAAAAAAAAAACACTAAACACTGTATCTAATCTACTCAACAACGTAACATAATCGTACGTTACACAACTAATATATAAAGTATCGTTACTAAATTTGTTACGAGTTAAAATACTTCAGCATGCAAGATGGCTACTTACTAACCTTCTGTGATGAGCTGGCCGAGGACTCTGGCTATCTCAAGCATTTGAGCGGTGCCGCTGGAGGGGTCAGCGGCCCCATATCCCCAGGCGTCACGGTGGTTCCCCATCAGCACATAGCGGTCTGTCAATATTACATTACTCGTCACTACCACCCAAACTTACTACTAAGCTCAGCAGTTATTAAATGAGACAACTCCAGTAAACTGAAGTAAAGTTTGCAATTAGAGACAGACTCAACTCACCAGGCTCCACGTCTCCCCTGATGGTGGCGATAACGTTGTAGGAGCGGTGAACCTGCAGGGAGTTGTGCGTGTTGAGTCTGAGGCGGTAGGAACGGTACTGGTCCAGGAACTCCGGCCCCAGGTTGTACGCCACGCCCTTCAGGCCACCCATCCACTCCCTGGGGGCCGGGGTGCCGCCCATTTTCCTGCAGGAGAGTGTTATTTGATATATTTTTCTTGACACCACGCTGCCCATCCTCTTACGTTTCCCAACGTCAAGAAACTGTCGTACTAAAGTTCCCTTATCCTAACCTACCAGAGGACTCAACAGAAAAACGGGACAGTATGTCAATTTCACGAACCGCTACCATTTTCTGGTATGACAGTTTTTGACCTTGGGTAATGTATATGTCAAAATGCGACGTTCTATTAGGTGGACAGGTTGCTTCAGGACCCCTAGAGATAAGACTTAAACATATCAAGTACTTATTCAAATGTAATAAGATCCAGTAGTTAAGGATTGACAGGAAAAATAAAGCTATCCATTTGCGTCACCGAACACCAGTCCCGGGATGCAATCGTCCCGTTGCTGTAGCTACCACTAACCCTACAGCAACAACACCAGTCCCAAGGTGCAAACATCCCATTGCTGTAGCTACCCCTATGTGGGAAATTTTACCCACTCCTGCATTATTATCTAAGAAATGTATTATTTCTATATCATATCAAAATCATATCAGAATCACTTCAGATTCATTATATCCTACATCTGGATCCTACAGGGGCCTGACAGCTGTGTGGACTGCGCTTCAGCTTCATAGTCTTGAGGTTCTGGGTTCGATCCCCAGCGGAGGCGGAAACAAATGGGCAAAGTTTCTTTCACCCTGATGCTCCTGTTTGCCTAGCAGTAAATAGGTACCTGGGAGTTAGACAGCTTCTACGGGCTGCTTCCTGACGGTGTGTAACAAAAAGGATGCCAGGTCAAGGACCGGGCCGCAGGGACACCAAGCCCCGAAATTATCTGAAGATACATGACAATGCCACTATGATCACATACACCATAAGGCCCATGGTTCCTACGTGACTTTGTGCATGATTTTTCAAGGATCTAGAAGCTTCTAGAAGAATATCTTCATTAAAAAACTATTGGAACATCAATCGATTTCCGGTAAGGATTAAATTAAATCCTTAATAAGAATCAATAGTACTATCAAGTATTACAAATAATCTTTAAATCCTATATCTAATTATATTATGATCACATCTTATCTCAATCATATGTCTAGACAGTAAAAAAAATAAATATAGACTGAAGGCTACCCTCCCTAGGAAGGAGGGCGGAGCCAGCTCAGGAGATCAAGCAACCTAAACAGTGCCCTGGGGCAGATTGTTTTGTTTACAAAGAGTGCAAACATGTGACGGTGCTTTGCAAACTTTTTCAGTAAAGGACACCACACTAACTTATCATCACCAGTGATTACTCTAGAACTGGGGAAGTACCTGAACTATATCTATAAGGAAAAATTTCTAGTACTTTTATCTAAATAAGAGTGCAGAGTGGCACACTAAGTGACGCCGCTTCCACCACCACAATCATCATAATCTTATCCTACTGCAAACGCAACTAAGGTTATAATTAACTAGCAAAGCTACCAGAATATTAAACAGTAAAACTGTGACATTAAATATAATGCCTAAACTCTACAAGAGAGGTTATCAAATCTGGCGACTAGTCAGACGGCACCGGCACTCAGACTGGATAACATTTAATAAGTATATCAGGTGTTATTGTAGTGTGTTGATTGGCCAATTGCATGCTTGTATAACCTTAATATATCCAATAAATCTGTTTGTCGTTACAGTGCAGGGCAACACCCCAGATTTCAGCAAGTTTTGATTAATCTTTCAGCAACTGAATCTTTTCAATATTTTCAGGGCATTCATTCACTGAATGTTTTCAATACTATCTGGACACTCATTCAATGAAAGTAGTCAATGACAGAACTTCATATAAATTGAATATATCTGTATATATAATTGATAATATACATTAAGTTAACAATTGCTTACTTAGTTATCTTTAATTTATCATTAAGTTTATCATATTGAATATAAATTCTTAGATACCAGTACTCGGACCACATTTAAAGTCAGTTGATTGCACATTTACATATATCATACCTCTATAATACAAATTGTTGTGTTATTAGTATGTGAATATTGGATGTTGTAACTATAGAGCTAGGCTGGACTGTGTATTATTTAGATCCTCGATTTAAACAGAACCAGTGTTCAGTTACTAAACCGAGTTGATTTATTCTTATCCGAGTACCAACAATACAAGCTGATGTGTTGAATTGTCTGCAGGTGGATTGTAGATCTTCAATCAACTTCTCCATTCACCCTTAGGGACCCCACCCTTACAGCCGACCTTCCCCTTACAGCCCACAGTCTGTCATTAGGACAAGATTTACAACCCTAGCTAGGGACTTCAGTTTTATTAATTTTGCATACAGAAATTTGATTTAGTACAGTACAAGTCCTAAGTAGTTCTCTTATATCAATCCAGGAAATTTTTCCACACCCCTACAGCAACAACACCAGTCCCAAGGTGCAAACGTCCCGTTGCTGTAGCTACCCCTAACCCTACAGCAACAACACCAGTCTTACTCCAGAAGAACTCGGGCGTCGTTGTAGCCTATGGGCTGGCAGGGGATCTTCGGCAGCTTGGCGTCCTCTATCTTAAGTCTGTAGGCGTGTGCTGTGGGCAAGACACGAGTGTTGAACAACAAGCAGTAACTGATGACCTGTGATCGCTATTGATGATGATTAGTGAGGGATTAACAGTGACAAATGATGTCATTATTAATATGATAAATATAATGTTAATTATGATTATTTTTGAAGTTCGTGATTACTGATGACTACTTTAATTGAAATAATGTATGATTGATGATGATAATTATTAATAACTGATAAATTCCGATTGTTGATGGCGACAATCATTGATGATATACCACGAAACTAACACAAATGATGAAATTAATCAAGTGAGGTTCTATGTGTAATATAGAGTACATTAAGAGAGTGAGTAAGAGGCGAAGACGGTGAGACAAGAGACATGGAGTGACAAGAGAGAGACAGGGAGACAAAGAGGCCTCCAGGTACGTACCTGTAGAAGGCCAGCCAGGCGTGAGAAGGTCACCCATACCCAAGTTTGTGCTGCCTCTTTGCATGCCGGTGCCAGGAAGCCACCAGGTATTTGGGTACACCTTCTCGGGTTCCACTCCCTCCCGGGCCACATCCTCGGGGTCCGAGAATAGGATCAAGCCCTTGGCTCCTCGCTCCTGGGCGTGCAACACCTGAGGGGGAGGAAATTATCAGGGGAAAGCACCAAGGCCTTACGACTGTATAGCACTTGGAAGGGGTCAAGATAAGAATTTGAGACGAGACAGAAAGGAATGGTGCCCAACCACTTGGACGGTCGGGGATTGAATGCAGACCTGCATGAAGTGAGACCGCCGCTCTACCGTCCAGCTCAAGTGGTTGGGCACTGGGTGTATTAGGATAGATTTCAGATGATTCGGGTGTACACAGGACTTCTTGGTTGACAAGCAATGGTACACAAGACTACCTGATTGACAAGTACCTCAATAACCTTCCAGAGGTTGAAACACTAAGTCCAACACTAATCAACCAGCCCTAGGAATATTATTTATTGCACATGCATATAACCACCTTGAGAGCTGCTAAAAACAATAAATTATTTAAATTTCAACATTATTTTTAAGAGGGTTACAAGATACCGAAAATACCAGAAATTATGATTTCAGCACTGACCTTGTTGCCTCTGAAGATCTTGCCATAGCGAGCGATGACGATGCAGCCAGAGACGTTGACGTTGAGCTTCTCCAGCGTGTCGAAGTCCTCAACCCTGGCGTAGTTAGCGTACACGACGCCTCGCCCGGCCTCAGACTCCACGTCCCCTGGGGGAGAGGCCGGAGGCTCACCACCATATCTTAACACTTCTCTCTCAACCACTCTACTCTTATTGGGCAAGACGGCTTTTATATTACAATTTATACTTAGTGAAAATTTATATCATAATGTTCTCATTCTGTATATAAACACAACCACCTGCCCGTAGCACCCACTCACCACCTGCCCCAGCACCCACTCACCACCTGCCCCAGCACCCACTCACCACCTGCCCCAGCACCCACCTGCAGGTGTGAAGGCATTGAAGGCGTGGACGAACTCCGGGTCGTCATCATCTTCATGTATCGGGGTCTCTTTGTAAGAGCTTGTGAAGACAACTTTGCCAGCACCGTCAATAAGGGTGATCTGTAACAGCACACCTTGGCATGTATTACAGGTTTATAAATGTATAATATCTAAGTATAATTTAGTGCAAAGTATTTTCAAATAATAGATCTATGGTAGAAAAAAAAAAAAAAAGTGATATTTAAAAAATGAAATGCACAAAAGAATTAATTGCAAAATAGAAATGCAATTGAAAATTAAAGGTAATATGGCTATAGCGTGACTATATAGTTCTTTATTTCAAATACGACCCGTCCTCATACTAGGCTGTTTAAAGCAGCGGCCGTCCTCCCCAGACATTTGTGGAAAATTTCCACCATACCAGTATAATAATTTAAGAAATGGATTATTTCTAAATCATACATCTGAATCCTACATCAGAATCATACATCTACTGAATCCTATATCAGAATCATACATCTGGATCCTTCAAAACAACACCACAATGGTGACGTCTGCTATTAGGCCTATGGATGCCTTTGTTCATGTATCTTCAAGGATCTAGAAGGTTCGACAAAAAGCTGTCTTAATTGAAATACCATTGGAACATAATTTGGGCTTCCAGTGATGTATTTTCAAGTCCTACATAAAGAATCAATTTCTACTATAAGTACTACCTATAATCATTAAATCCTATATACATTTATCATACAATCCCACTTTATCTCAATAATCTGTCTAGACAATAAAAATAATCGATATTCATTGTTGGCCACCCTCACTGGGAGGGAGGTAGCCGTCGCCCTGGCGGGTAACCGAACGGGACCAGAACCCATTGTTTACATACAGAGTAAACACATGATGGTGCTCGAGACTTTCAACAGGACCAGAACCACACAAACTAAACTTAATTCCCAGTGATAATTCACTGTAATAGCTCCCTAAGATACTCAGGGAGGTGTTGAACTATAAATCAGATCAAATTACTGAAACATTTATCTAAATACGAGTGTGGAGTGATACACCTACAGCACATGTAGTCGCTCTCCACCACCACTTATAACCGACTCCTCGCCTAGTCACCGGTGACGGGAGACATCTCTCGTCACGCAGGGTGCAGTCGCACCTCCACAGATCACCAGCATCATCTCTTGATACTGGTAATGGCTCAAAAGGGCCACTACTTATGGGCTATTCATGCCCGTGCCACCTTTTGGGTGGCTTAATCTTAATCAATCAATGGTCACCGGTGGCGGTGGACGTGTCGCTGTGAGCTCTTGGTTTGGCGGCCAGTGTCTGTTCCTGTTTGAGAGATTGGAGCTGTGTCGACTGGGGGAATGGCGACGCCCTTACCCCCTGTGAAGCGGAGGGATATTGGCCTGGAGTTTACCGGCCCGGCATCCCACCTTGCAGTTAAGGTGGTCCTGAATGATATGTTGCAGGTGGATGTGGCGACGGTTTGCGGCATTCAGCTTGTGTCCGGGCATAGAGCTGTAGTGAAATTCGCCTCCACTGCTGTTTATCATGTCTTTGTGGGCTGCTATGACGGGATGTCCTTCCACGCTGACTGAGGATGGTGGTTCGGTGGAAGTGGCGGAAATGTGCAGTGAGACTACTTAAGTGGCGGTTCATGGTGCTCTGAGTTCCCAGACTCCATTCTCCGACGTCACTTTACTGGTATGGGCGGGTCTTGTGTGTCCGGGTGAATGCTGTCTCCTCCAGGAGGTGGAAGGGTGTCTCGAATGGGACCCGCACCATGGCAATGCACCTGAAGGACCCCATCCCAACGTCACTCCAGATTCTGGCTTTCACAGTGTGAGTGTTCTATGCGAGCCAGTCCCGGACTTGCTTCCGGTGTGGTTTTTTGGGTCACCTGGCTGTGAGTTGTGGTGCTGGCAGCGTACGCCCCATTAACCTGTTCCGGGAGGAGGACTTTCCCCCCGCTGGAGGTCCTGGACCCGTCTTCGTGTGATGTTGGCGTGGGTGTTGTCCCTCGCTCTTCCGATGACCTGCTGGAAACGCCCGGCGCTGTGGAGATCACGCCCGAGGGCTGTGCAGTTCTCCCCCCACCGCTGGTTTCCCCGCCTCCTCTGCCCCGGCCTGCCCAGTATACAGAAGGTGCGTCTTCGGAACGTGTCCTCATCGATGTGCACGCAGAGCTGTCTCCAGTGGTGTGCTGTCCTTTTCCCCTGTTTGTTTAGGGTGCGGTGTTGCATGATCGTGCAATGCATAATGTTGCACGGCCGCCCAGGGGTTCTGCTGCAGTGCCTCCTGGAGGGTGTGATAGTTCCGACGACCTACGCCTGGTCTCCAAGCGTTCGAGGCGCTTGTCTCCCCACCTCGTGGCGTGGCCGGGGCCAATGTGCGGGACTATGGGGACCCCGGGAGTTGTTCTGTGGATAATGATGGTGTGCAGGGGGCTGGTGTGCTCCTGGTTCGTGGCGAAGCGGTGTTGGTAGCTGGTGCTCCTGTCGTGGGGGGGGGGGGGAAGGGGTCTGGTGCAGGGGCCTTGGTTCTGCCTTTTGCTTCCTCGCCCGCGCACTCGTGTTCCGGTTCGCTGGCGGAACCGGGCCTTTGTAGAAAGTATGCGAGGAGGGGAGGGAGGGTGTGGATTACGTTTGTGACCGTCAGCCACCAGGTTGGGGTTGGTGTGGTTGGGACTAGAGGAGTACTCACCAGGTTGGGGTTAGTGTGGTTGGGGCGAGAGAGAAGGACATCATAAGGAACAAGATCAGCAGTGTCGAAGCCCAACTTCAGGAAGCGATCTTGTATCATGATAGCGAGCTGGTCGTCCCTCTCAGTGCCGGCCAGGTGGGGCCTCTTGGTCAGCTCTCTGCAACACACAAGAATTAGAAGAGACCATGATTACCACATACAAAATTCTGAGGGTAATTAATAGGTTAGATAAAGAAATATTTAACACGGGTGGTACTCACCAAAGGGGACAAAAGTGGAAACTGAGAACCCAAATGAGTCCCAGACATTAGAAATAATTTCTTATTTGTTACATTAAAGTAGTTAAGAAATACTGATGTGTATAAGAGTATACTCACTTGAGGTTGTCCCTGAGGTTGGTTGTGTTGACCAGTTGTATTATTCTGTGGTTCAGCTGAGGTTCAGAGTCCCACTTGTCTCCCACCAGTTTGTCCATCATCCTGAGACAGTGGAATACAGAGGGACCATTAATTTAATTTTTAGTTTAATTTTACCACGAGGCGCGAGTTTATTGGGCAGCGCCACTCATCCTGTGAGTGGACACACCGCCATAGTGACAGTATTGGGCAGCGCCACTCATCCTGTGAGTGGACACACCGCCATAGTGACAGTATTGGGCAGCGCCACTCATCCTGTGAGTGGACACACCGCCACAGTGACAGTATTGGGCAGCGCTACTCATCCTGTGAGTGAACACACCGCCATAGTGACAGTATTGGGCAGCGCCACTCATCCTGTGAGTGAACACACCGCCATAGTGACAGTAATGGGCAGCGCCACTCATCACGTGAGTGGACACACCGCCATGGGTTGTTCATCCTGTCACTTATACCCAGACATAGCTGGGACTTGCCTATCACTGTCTCAAGTGAACAGCTTTTCAAACAAGAAGACTATGCTAAAAATAGGGACCATTAGTGACGTATATTGCAAATATTTGCCACTAAACTTACTCAGATTCTAAAAATAATCTATACTCTTTTGACTGATGTATTAGCTAAGAAGCTGTGTAACATATGCTCAGGAATGTATTAAACGTCTATACACCTTGGTTGTGTGTAATAGTGAGCAAGACACTTAGCGCCGCCCGACAACAAGTATATAAAGTATACTCACTTGACGTTGTCCAGGAACTTCACAGCCAGTCTCTGGTCCACCTGCTGGTCAGTCACGCACTTCGCTACCATTTCGTCCATCATGCTGACACAATGGTACATAAATCACCCGTTAGCCATTAACGTTATCTCTATATTAAATCTGCACCAGTTTTTCTCCGATTGGAAGATATTAAATAATAAGATAAAGCAAATCAATCTTGCTGCTTAATGAACAGAAATCGAGACACTCGCGAATGAAGTGTTGGTGTGCAGTTTAAACACTAACTGGCTCACTCTAATAGGTCGTCGCTAACGCTAACAGCTGTCTTACCTTGTCAAAGTACCAGAGGGACCGCCTGTGCTCCAGTCATTGCCCAGCGTGCGTAGTGATTGGCTGGTTGCGGGTGGCGTGGTGTGGGCCCCAAGAGCCGGTGTTTCAGCCGGCGTGATGGCGTTGCCTATGCAAATTGTTCAGCGTGTGGATTCTGCTGGCCTGGAGTTTACGGGGGTGGCGGACTTACCTCTCATTGAGGTGGCTAAACCTTAATTTGTGTATTCGTGTAATTTATGTATCACATGATGGACATTTGTGTATTAGATGTTGAGATATGAGTCTCGTCCTAACTCAAGACCTTGACAAAGCACTCTTGGAGAGTGTGAAAGACGTGGTGTAAATCTTTATGTAAAATACACAAATACATAGAGTGTGGGGTTTTATCCTGTAAATGTTTATAGTAACAGTTATGATAATAGTGTAAAATACTGGTTGATAACACTGATCACTGCTGTAACTTGCTTAGCCTAATGAATATTGGATGTTCAGTTCCTGAGCACAGCCATTTTCACTACAACTGGAAATGGTAGGGGAAAATGGCTACCATTTCTAGTGGTAGTGGAAATGGTAGGCATTTTCATTACCACTGGAATGAGTATGAGGTTACTATACCAATCACATGATGGGTATGGGGGCCCCCACTACTAACAAGATAGGTATGGGGTTCAATCACCACTCAAAGGGTAAACATGGGGACCCCCACCACTCACAGGATAGATATGGGGCCCACCACCACTCACAGGATAGATATGGGGCCCACCACCACTCACAGGATAGATATGGGGCCCACCACCACTCACAGGATAGATATGGGGCCCACCACCACTCACAGGATAGATATGGGGCCCACCACCACTCACAGGATAGATATGGGGCCCACCACCACTCACAGGATAGATATGGGGCCCACCACCACTCACAGGATAGATATGGGGCCCACCACCACTCACAGGATAGATATGGGGCCCACCACCACTCACAGGATAGATATGGGGCCCACCACCACTCACAGGATAGATATGGGGCCCACCACCACTCACAGGATAGATATGGGGCCCACCACCACTCACAGGATAGATATGGGGCCCACCACCACTCACAGGATGGTTAAAGAGTAAACACACTACTGTTCATGGGATGGATATACTGGGGCCCACTGCCAATTACATTACAAGTGTATGGATATCCACAACGTGCTTCTTCATACCATCCTCATAAGTGTTGTGAACGCTCTTGCGCTCTCAAAGCTTCGGAACACTGGGTAAACAAGTTGTTTATAACACCAAGGCGTGGGGGGGGGCGTGTTACTGGGGGCATGTATGTTGTATTTGCAGGTAAATTTAAAGTAAATGTATAATACAACTGTCATTCATGCCCCCGTTTCCAGCCAACACAATGCAAACAAACTCAATCAAAACAATCTACCAATACAATACTCAAGTGTTTACATTCACTAAGGAAGACAAACCAACACAACATAACACACATTTACGGGAATTAAAGTATTTTATTAGTAAACTAGTCTGGATGGAACATGTAAACTTAGCAACATGAAATATTTTGGTTTCCCACAACATTAAGTACATCGCATATACCACAACATGAGGCACATTGGTTATATAACAAACATATTGGTTATACCAAAATATGAGGCACAGTGGAAATATAACAACATGAAGCACATTGGTAATACGACAACGAGTACTGGGAAGACGGGACACCACAAGCGTAGCTCTCATCCCGGTAACTATCCTAAGGTAATTACAACGTTGAGCTTATTCAATTTCTTTATTATGCACCCCATACCCGTCCCGTGGGCGGTTGTGGAAAGGGTTACAAAGGCACATAATGGGTTCAGGAACTGAACCTCATAGTTCGTTTAGCTAAGCAAGTGTTAATCTTTTGAAGCTAGTTACAAAATTGTTAATGTTATATATATTATATATATTATATATATATATATATATATATATATATATATATATATATATATATATATATATATATATATATATATATATATATATATATATATATACACAGTCATTTACACAAATACATAGACATACCTTACCTTGTAGTGTTTCCGGGCCTTAGCGTCCCTGCGGTCCGGTCGTCGACCAGGTTTCTTCGTTTCTGGACTGGTCAACCAGGCTGTTTGACGCAGCTGCTCGCAGCCTAACGTATGAATCACAGCCTGGTTGATCAGGTATCCTTTGTAGGTGCTTATCCAGTTCTCTCTTGAACACTGAATGGGTCGACCAGTTATGCCCCTTATGTGTAGTGGAAGCGTGTTGAACAGTCTCGGGCCTCTGATGTTGATAGAGTTCTCTCTCAGAGTACCTGTTGCACCTCTGCTCTTCAACGGGGGTATTCTGCACATCCTGCCATGCCTCCTGGTCTCATGTTATGTTATTTCTGTGTGCAAGTTTGGGACCAGCCCCTCTACTATTTTCTATGTATAAATTATTATGTATCTCTCCCGCCTGCGCTCAAGAGTATACAGATTTAGGCTTTTTAGTCGGTCTCGGTAGTTTAGATGTTTTACTGAGTAGATTCTAGCAGTAAAGAATCTCTGCACGCTCTCCATATTGATATCTCTGCATCTGCATATCGATAATCTTTTTCTATCAAGTGATTCAACAAGAGGCTCACAACTGTCACTATACAAGTCACTTTACATCTATGGTGAGTCACACAGTTACTAGTCTTGCTCCACACCCACCCAACTGGGCGGCAGCTTTACAGTCATGTGGAGGCTGCACCTACAGTAAACAAATTTTGAATACTTGGCTGAGATTCCCGGCAGTACGTCATCATAAATGAAATACTTACACGTTTCTTGGACTCGGTGATGGTGCTATCAACTCCGAGAACCAACCAAAGCAACATATACTTACCTTTGTTCCGATGGCGAGAGCGACAGAAAGCCGGGAGGCGTCACTCCGGGCACACTCCGCCAGGCTTCACTAGGCTATGGGACAGCAGGCGGTGTGATAGAGAGGCTAGCCAGTCTGCGTCCTTGGGGGCCAACTGCCAGAGGCGTGGGGCAGCATTTCTCACAATGGTAAAGAAGGCAAACTCTGCCTTAAACCTCAGTGACGTTATTGTCCTTAAAAACACCTGTTATTATCTACCTACAGATTGTTTCATGTGTTAAGAGAGAGAAAAAAAATGCTGTGTGAAAAACCTGCTTTTCAGATCTGCCAATGCTGCAAGGTCAATACTGTAATGCTGCAAGGTCAATACTGTAATGCTGCAAGGTCAATACTGTAATGCTGCTAGGTCAATACTGTAATGCTGCAAGGTCAATACTGTAATGCTGCAAGGTCAATACTGTAATGCTGCAAGGTCAATACTGTAATGCTGCAAGGTCAATACTGTAATGCTGCAAGGTCAATACTGTAATGCTGCAAGGTCAATACTGTAATGCTGCAAACTCCATACTGTAATGCTGCAAACTCAATACTGTAATGCTGCAAGGTCAATACTGTAATGCTGCAAGGTCAATACTGTAATGCTGCAAGGTCAATACTGTAATGCTGCAAAGTCAATACTGTAATGCTGCAAACTCAATACTGTAATGCTGCTAGGTCAATACTGTAATGCTGCTATCCCAGCAAACACAAATCGTATAGAAAACGTTCATCTATCTCTTCCCATAGGTGTAGGAATGACTTGCATTGAGAATGGTGCAGGAGAGCCTTTGAGAAACTTTTAATCCAAAAATCCAAACACATAGGTTTAATAATAAATTGTTTTTCTACAACTATTTTGTTCCTAATGTATTACAAAGTGTTTACATGTTTAAATATAAAATTTATGGTGTTTTTTGTAAAATTCATTAATAAATTGTGAATGATATTTAATGGCTGAATGAAACCTTCAAAATACATTTAGTTATTCTATAATCAGAAAAAAGTAGTTTGCCAAATTTTCTAAAACTCGCTCTTTTTAACACAATTTGACTCCTTATGCATTCCATTAAACACTAATATCATGTTTAAATATTAAAATTATGTATTATTCCCAAAAATAATTTATATGTCAATACTGTTATGCTGCAAGGTCAATACTGTAATGCTGCAAGTACAATACTGTACTTGCAAGTACAATACTGTAATGCTGCAAGTACAATACTGTAATGCTGCAAGAACAATACTGTAATGCTACAAGTACAATACTGTAATGCTGCAAGTACAATACTGTAATCTGCGAAAATCTCAAGTTTGGCTAGATTTTTGTCTTAATAGAATAATTTTTTTGGTCTTAACTTAATTCATGGCAAATCAAATAATGAATATCCTTACCTATTATTTCGAAAATGAATTTTTTTTGGCAAAACTGCATTTAGCAGTTGATAAAAAATGTATTGAAAAAACACACATTGATTCACACCCTCACTGATCAGCGTATTATACTTATTTAATATATATTTAATATCTTGCTATTATTTATCTTTTCATAATAGGAATATTAATAATTACAGACACAAAAAGCATATATTTAGAGTAGTCTGCAGTCTCCGTGGTGTAGTGGTAAGACACTCGCCTGGCGTTCCGCGAGCGCTATGTCATGGGTTCGTATCCTGGCCGGGGAGGATTTACTGGGCGCAATTCCTTAACTGTAGCCTCTGTTTAACGCAACAGTAAAATGCGTACTTGGATGAAAAAACGATTCTTCGCGGCAGGGGATCGTATTCCAGGGACCATAGGATTAAGGACTTGCCCGAAATGCTACGCGTACTAGTGGCTGTACAAGAATGTAACAACTCTTGTATATATCTCAAAAAAAAAAAAAAAGTAATGGTCTTGTCAATAGACACATTATGACATTTAGGTGTTGTCTAAGGTTTAAGTACCAGAGAGGGTAAATAAATTAAATATTGTACATGGGAGGATATTATTATTATTAAAAAATTACAAGTTTCAAGTATAAATCTATATGTATATAATATATAATTACATATGAACAATATCATATATTGCATTTTGTTACTAAAAAATCCTTCGGCCGCTTTTTCGTGACTCAAGCGGCTAGGATATTAGGGAATATTTGTGTCAATGTTGTCCATGCAGGAGATGTGCTAGAAATGACAGCCGAGAGAAACATTGAGAGACAGAGATACTATAAGGTAAAATTATGGATTAAGTGTGCAGTACTAAGTAAAAGGATTTAGGTCTACTATGAAAGGATTCTTAAATGAGATACAAATATATATATCCTAGATTTTAGGACATCAATTTAAGAGGCAAGTTGTAAATTGACAGAGAATCTGTCTTAGATACAAGGAGACAAGACTAACAACAAACCCTGAGGTACTCTTGTGTCAACCAGTATCTGGGCCAGGAAGTCATTAAATAAGAATCTTGGCAACACCCAAGATGGCTAAAAAAAATTTTTGCTCATGACTTTTTTATCAATGAAGTGGTCATTAAAAGGCTGTTTATGTTGTCCACGAGAAAGCAATTTAAAGAAAGTACCACAGAATGACAAAGACTGTGACAACAGAACACTGGAATACAGCTACTCTTATCATTCTTGGATTATGAAAAGATTCTTCAAGCAACTACTAGGTTCCACCATACCTGGAGAGGTTACTTGTAGAAAATTTCCGGGAGTTGTTCTACTCACCGAGCTCGGACTGATTCCAGGCTCGACTCATCGACAGCGTCCAAGTTTAAGATACATTGGCGACTAAAAAAAAAAACTGAAGAGGTGAATAAGAGGAGAGAAAATGACAAAAGGAAAATGGTGTTCCTTAGATGACATGGAAGTCCTTTAAGAAGCTGGTGGCTCTCTGCATCATAATGGTCAGGTCGGAGACATGCCTCTTAATCTGTTCCTCTCTCTCTTGACGCTCTGTGTCGGTCAACGTCTCCATGTTGTGCAGCAAGTCGGTAATGCCTGGGAAGCCGGACGCGGCGTAGCTGTCGAACTGACTTGGGGCGAACACAGCGTGTCTGTAGGAGGTTTGATACATTATTACCTTCATTATTACTTCAATTAGCAGACAAAGGTCCAGGTGTCAGTGGAACAATTGTAATAGTTGGTTTCTTGGGCTACTTAATAATATTGTAAATTATATACTGTACAAACAACACTAATTTAACTTTGTAAAATAAGCACAGTAAATAAGCTTTGTTTAAATACAGATACTGATTATAACTATATTAATACAAGTGTCAGCGTTATAATATATCCATTTTTGAAAACTTAATTCAAGATTGACAATACTTATTACTTTCTAAATCGCAAAACCTTTCATTGTGTATCAATCATTTAGCATTAAAACTGCCCCGTAGAATGTCCTGGACCTATACTGCAGTTCTATTTATTTATAGTTATGTCAGAATTGTGGTTCTACTACCTGGCTAGTAAGTTTATACCAGTATCGTGGCTTAGCACCTAGCTAGTATGGTAATGGTTACATCAGGGCTTAGCACCTAGCTGGTATGGTAATGTTTACATCAGGGCTTAGCACCTAGCTGGTATGGTAATGTCTACATCAGGGCTTAGCACCTAGCTGGTATGGTAATGGTTACATCAGGGCTTAGCACCTAGCTGGTATGGTAATGTTTACATCAGGGCTTAGCACCTAGCTGGTATGGTAATACCAACATACAGTATCATCATTATAGTCAGGCACGTACCTGATTTGTGGTCGTCCAGGCAGACCTGCTGGAAGAATAAACACCTGTTCCAGCTTCATCATCTGGTCGTTGATGGCTCGAGTGGTGATCGGACTGGACGAGAAACACATATTGTATGATTGTAAATACAATAGTTACACAAATATATATACCTAAAGGTGGGCAGGACCGAATTCATAAAAGAATGGAATTTCTGGAACTCTGCCAGTTACGAGGGCAATGACCGTGAAAGTTCTTTTTCCAGACAAGATCGAAATTGGAACCGATAGTCCATTTTAACAATTCCAAACTGTCAGACATTCCTCGGTTCTACTTTTTTTTAACTATAAGATGACTGTTAGAATGTTATTTACAAATACAAAATATCTGTCCAGTATTTACAAATTTGATAACAAATTAAAAATGCTTGACTTCTTAAAGGTGGAACTGAAGCATTCCCCCCTCACCGTCCCTACAATCTTTACCCCTCACTCACTCCAAGTCCTCAGTCCTCTTCTCCTTCAGGTCCCTGACGAAGACAGCTGTCGCGTCCGTGAAGTTCATCAGTGACTCTTCAAGAAGAGCTGGACAAAATTGGAGACTTTAAATATGCAACAAAATTACATGAAAATATGATAAAATTAAAAATAAATGCTTTCAAGACTCAATCTTGTAACATATTTACGCCAAGCTGTACCCAGGGAATTACCGAATGATCTAGGACGGGCCAAAACATCCTCGTTTCTTCATTCTATGATGTTTTTTTTTGGTCACCATACACTGGCGTTGCCCATGTGAAGATCTGGGATCACATCTTATCTCCATCTCTAAAATCTTCACTAAATCACTATGGTCGATATTCCCTGCCGTCTGAGGTTCTCTCACACACGATCTAAATCACAAACATTTTCACTGCTTCTGTTAACGCTTCTGAGCCCTGGTGGTCAACCCTCCCGAGCCCCGGTGGTCAACCCTCCCGAGCCCCGGTGGTCAACCCTCCCGAGCCCCGGTGGTCAACCCTCCCGAGCCCCGGTGGTCAACCCTCCCGAGCCCCGGTGGTCAACCCTCCCGAGCCCCGGTGGTCAACCCTCCCGAGCCCCGGTGGTCAACCCTCCCGAGCCCTGGTGGTCAACCCAGAACAAGAAAAACGTGAATTACGAGGCAACATCAATTCTCTTAGGGTTTCTCCAGAACCTAGGCTCTCGGGGAAAGTATTTACATTTTCAAAAGAGAACAAGATCAAATGATGAAATAATGGTTCAAAAGCATTAAACATAGCTGCTATGATGAAAACAAAACATTATCAGTTAATAGAAGACCCCAAGAACTGGAGCCCCAAAGAATATGACCATATCACTAGCGTTAAACAACAGATAAGTTTCAAACAGAGTTCAACATTATAACTAATAATACAATACAGATTAATCTCCCCCTCAAATGGCAAACTACCCCAGACTCACAATACTTGTCATATATATTGATGAGTTTGTCTCGCTTGCCGCCTTTCCTGAGGGTATCGAGAGCATCCTTCATGGCCTTAGGCAGGTGCTCCAGGCTGTACGGCACAAGCACGGAGTCCGCGAAGTACCTGAGGGTGAGGGCGGCAACCCGGCTGCAGCCCTGGTGGATCCTGAAGCCCGGGTCCATGTTTTTATCCATCATGTAGAACGTCTCGTAGCCAGTGTGGTATGAGGGGTAGATGCTTATATCGTGCTTATTCTGGGGAAAGGAAGATGTAGCAGTGGTAGAGTGCATATGGAACTACAGCACAAGGCGTGTGGAAATGTAAATGAACGCAGAGTATTTACTGGGATTATGAAGCAGATTTACCTTGTCTCTCCTAAACCACAGATCCAGACATGGGATGCCACAGTAGAAAGAAAATGGGGCGTAGTCGCTTCCAGATCCCAAAGTTTCCATCCTGCGAGAAAAGTATAGCCAGTGAGAAGTTATCTCTTTTAATCAATTAGATTTATACTGCATACTCCAGTGCCACACTGCTTATGTTCTTCATCTCCTTAATGGTGTTTTTTCATCTCCCAGTCATAAAACATTTAACCAAACTCGTTTTATCTACACTTTTCCCTCAGAGATCTAACTGCTCTATATTTTTAACCATTAGATGCTGAACTACGTTAACCTCCTTAGCTAACTAACGTAGTTAACTACCGTTAACTACGTCCCTGGTGGGTGGGTGTTTAAAGTTAGTTAAGTGTGTGTGTGTGTGTGTGTATTATATATATATATATATATATATATATATATATATATATATATATATATATATATATATATATATATATATATATATATATATATATATATATATATATATATATATATATATATATATATTATTATATATATATAAATATAAAATGTAATATAACCAATATATGTTTTTCAAAAATAGTTAAGTTTAATATATAATATTATCATACATTTCCCTGCTCCCCCTCAATTCCGCAGTCATCCCTCTCCTTCAATTTCACCACTACTTACTCAGGTGAGGTTTTATTCCGCATAGTGTGAAATGCTACCCACTCCTCGTATATCGTGGCACCATTACGAACACCTGGCACCTGCAGGAGGAGGAGGGGGACCATACTGGAATTAAAATATCTACCACAAGCTAAAGTGTGAAATTGGAATTAAATCTTTGCCAATGTGAAAAGGTTAAATTGTAGTTCAAAATAGGTTGCATAATATAACAAATTATTGGTCTTAGAAGAGTTGGGTAAAGTGTTTCTGAACAGAGATGGGGAATGGGGAGCGACATACCATTTTGGTAATCATGGTGATGGGATCCCAAAGAAGGGGGCTGCCGGGCACTTCGATGATGGGGCCCGAGGCGCAGGTGTCCGTGTTGAGGTACATCACCGCCCGCTCCTGTAGCTTGTTCACGTGTTCCTGTGGGACACGTCAGGACATTTTAGGACGTGCTGGGAAGCTCGTAGACTATAATATTTTACTGAAGAAAGGATGAGATGCTTTAGGACGTTTGCATGGATAAGCTTAAAACTATATGGGAAGCCTAAGGATACAGTTGGAAACATTAGATCATGCTTGAACACTATTTAACATGGAGGAATGCTTCGAGATGTTTTCGGGCATTGTAAACATCATGAATGAATAACTTCTTTAGGATATAGGATGATTTAGGAATTTGTGTGCTACTGCAGGTACTTTTTACGTGATCCTGAAGAAAACGCTTATATTGTAGGTCACCAGAAATATCCCGTAGTCTGGTATAAGGCTCCTGCAGCAGTGAAATAAGAAAACTCATGCCTTAGAACATATCATATGGAATGATGTTATTTTACATATGAAGTGCGTTGTAAGACAAATGTAACATAAGACTTAGTAGCAGGGAGATGTATTGCAAACTTTAATGTTAGTTCATCTCAAAATAGCCTCAAGATAGTTCGGGGCATACAAATAAGCCACAGGACTTGAAATGAAGTAAGGTGCTGTATGACATGCTAAATTCTTGTAGGATCTAGAGACATGACTGAGGACATGCTGTGAAGTCGTTAGAGATGTGCATAAAGCTCCTACGTTCGAAAATTAAGTGTAATGATTTATTTTATAATTAACAACATTCACAAGTAGTCAACAGTGTTCCATTCCATAATCTCCAGGTTATGGCTGTTAATTATGCCGATTAACTGACATAACCTAAACTAAATTAATTTTTTCCATTATTAGAAACTAAATACATAATCTTACCAGTTTGTTTTATGCTTATGCTGATTAATTATGCGAGGGTCAAAGAAATCTTATATAGAAAACTCAACTTTATTGAGCTTTGAAACAGTATGTCTTGCAGAGAACACACATTCTTTTCCGGCTACATTATATATTATTTCAGCTTTTATTTCCCGAGTATGAGTGTTATAATCTACCCACGAAACCCGAAAAAATTTACATTTTTCAGTTCTAGAGGGCATATTTTAACCTTTCAAATGTCGGAATTATTACCTACCAGATATCAACTAAACAATATTGACATTAACCTAAATGATAAATTAATGCATAAATGGTCAATATAACATTCATACATCATTGTAAAATTTTACTCTTAAAACTAATCTTACCCTATTCTTTTTAAATTTTAAATTTAATTGTAGTGATTTATGTCATTTATTGAAATTAATTATTGATCTCATTTTGTTTTCTTAATTAAGTTCATACTAATTATAGGTTAAAAACTAAGCTAAATAAAATTAATTATCTTTAAGATTATTTTACTTTACAATTATCATGTCTAATTTTTTGTGTTATATATTCATCTTGAGAGTCTCTACTGATTTTTTGTTTTCTCCACCAAACTTGTGTATCCTTCATGGCTATCTAGTGTTCTTTATTCTACTTCTAATTGTTTCAATTTTTTTGTATACTTGCATTTAATGTTGTGTTTTGATATAATAATTCTCTAATTATAGTAGACATAGTATTTATGTAAGCATCTACCTCAGTGTCATAGTAAAATTTTGCTCAAATATAATCTTACCCTGTTATTTTTTTTTTTTAAATTTAATTGTAATTTGATTTATACATCATTTATTGTAATTAATTATTGAGCTCATTTTGTTTTCTTAAGTTCATACTAATTATAGGTTCACAACTAAGCTATATTAAATAATTTATTTTTAAGATTATTTTTACTTTACGATTATTATTTGTCTCATTATTTTTGCTATATATTATTCCTGTCAGTCTACTGATTTTTTCTTCTCTCTTAACCTAACTTCTGTATCCTTCCTGGCTATCTGCGGTGATCTTTACTCTACTTCAAATTGTTTCTATTTTTTTGTGTACTTACATTTATTGTTGTGTTTTGCTATAATTACTTTATATTTACAGCAGATTTAGTATTTAACTGTTCCTGTAATTGCTCATCTTATTGTATCGTGACATTATTGTATCTATATGCTTACTGATATTGATCCTGATCGAAATCTTCTGTCTCGTATCCACACAAATCAGCGCATTGATCATCATTATTGCAGGTATTACACAGCAAATCTTGCAAAAACAAACTCCTAAACAGCACCTGCTTATCAGTTTACAACCAAAATGTTAGGTCACTTGGTAAACATTTTGATGATATAAATGCACTACTCATAGCACTAGGTTCTAAATTATCATTCATCATTTGAACAGAAACTTGGCTAAATAAAGACTATACCCAACTCTACAACTTAGCTGGTTATAGAGCCATTCATAACTGCAGGCCTAATAAAAAAGGAGGTGGCACAGCAATATATTACAAAGATACCTTCACCTGCAATAGTGTCATTAATGATAGAGACGACTATTGTGAATATACCTTAGCCAAGTTCTCCAGTAAATCCCTTAAATCCTCCCTGACTATCGGTGCCATCTATAGATTTCCTAATACCAACATAGCTTCATTCTCAGACAACGTAAGGAATCTTATCATAAATAACAATCTCAACAAAAATCACATTCTAGGAGGTGATTTCAATATTGACCTGGGTCTTCAAAATAACCCTCAAGTTGACTATTTCCGTAACAGCATGCACTCCTGTATGCTAATCCCCACAATCACCAAGCCCACCCGAGTCACTCAAACATCTGCCACCACCTTGGATCACTTATGGACTAATATAACAGCTCCCCTTACATCTGGAGTAATCTATGATAGAACAACCGACCACTATCCTACCTTCCTCATAGCAAACATGGACACAATACCACCAGAAAGCAAGAAACTCTCATTCAGGCTACACAGTGAATCAGCTTTAGGCAATCTCTCTAATGCACTTCACAATATTAACTGGGAATCTGAATTCAATAATACACAGGATATAAACTCATTAACTACCCTCTTTCTCTCCAAAACTCTAAGCCTCTACAACACTCACTGTCCCCTCCTTACCAAACAAGTAACTGACAAAAGAAAAAACAATCCGTGGCTCACAAGTGGCATAATCAAATCAATCAACAAAAAACATGAATATGAAAAGAAATTTAGGATTGGCCTAGTTACAAAGGAAGTAGTTAAAAGGTACTCATCAGTGCTTACCAGTATCATAAGAAAAGCTAAACTTTCATATTATGAGACTAGATTCAAAGAAGCAAAAGGCAACATGAAAAGCACATGGAATACCATCTCTAATATCCTAGGAACTAAACAACATTCCTACAACACTCTCTAAGGATGGCTTTACACCGCCAACTGACTTAGAAATGGCAAATGAATTTAATAGCTTCTTTTCATCGGTTGGTGCTAACCTTGCCAGTAAAATCCCACAGACTCAGACACATATCAACACATATCTCTCAGGCAGCTATCCAAACTCTCTTCTCCTTTCACCAGTCAGCCCGACAGATGTTGTGTTCATCATACACTCACTAAAAACCAAAGCTGGGAACATCAGTGAAATCCCATCCATTGTATACAAGAGCGCCTCCCATGCCCTTGCGCCACCTATAGCTCTGTTGTTCAATAAATCCCTTGAGTGTCATACCTTCCCTGATATCCTTAAAAAAGTAAGAGTAACGCCAGTTCATAAAGGAAGTAATCCGGCAGACATAAACAATTATAGACTAATATCAAACCTACCCATACTATCAAAAATATTTGAAAAAATTATCTACAAATAGTTCTACTCCTATCTCGTAAAATTCGACATTCTTAGCCCCTGTCAGTTTGGCTTCCGCTCCCAAAAGAGTACCAACGACGCAATTATTAGTCTCTGATATAATTTACTAAGCCCTTGACAAAAATGAGTTTCCGATTGGACTCTTCATTGACCTGAGAAAGGCCTTTGATACTGTTAATCACAATTACCTCTTACGTAAACTTCATCAGTATGGAATCCGAAGCCATGCACTGGACTATATCCAATCCTATCTTAGTGATAGACACCAATGTGTAACCATCAATAATATAACCTCTCCCACTCTACCAATAACCGTTGGAGTGCCACAGGGCAGCATCTTGGGACCTCTCCTATTTCTTATATACATCAATGATCTGCCTAATGTCTCTAACATTCTGAAACCTATTTTGTTTGCTGATGATACTACCCTCATCTACTCTAACCCCAACCCACATACACTAAATAATGTTGTTAATAATGAACTAAAAAAAGTCCACTTATGGATGTCAACCAACAAACTAACACTTAACATAGAAAAGACCTACTACATCTTATTTGGAAGCAAATCTACAAATGCAATTCAGCTTCAGATAGATAATGTAAACATTAGCAATAAAAATGATGGAAAGTTTCTTGGCCTATTCCTAGACAAGAGACTTCAGCACCCACATACAACACATAGCTAAGAAAATCTCTAAAACAGTTGGGATACTCTCCAAAATCAGATATTATGTACTTAACTCTGCTCTCATCTCTCTATATTATGCACTAATCTATCCCTATCTTAATTATGGTCTTAATTATGGTATCTGTGCATGGGGTTCAACCACTGCAAACCACCTCAAGTCCATCATCACTCAGCAAAAATCTGCTATCAGAATAATAACAAATTCTTTCAGACAACACTCAGCCCCCTTGTTTAACTCCCTAAACATGCTAAACATAATCTCACTCCACAAATTCTCTTGTGTCAACTACATTTACAAAACCCTGTTCTTAAATGCTAATCCTGCTCTGAACCTCTCCCTAGACAGATGCAATAGGACCCATTATCACCACACCAGAAATAAATATCTCTTTGATATCCCCAGAGTCAAACTTAATCTGTGTAAACACTCTATGCAAATAAAGGGACCCAGTCTATGGAACTCACTCCCTAATGAATTGAAAAACTGTCCAACTTTTGCGACATTCAAAAACAAAACTAAAAAGTACCTAATTTCATCTTCATAGTTTTTTTACTTTTTGCTTTAAAATTACACTGTATCTATTGCTACCCAATCTCCCAATCCTTGTGTACCCAATCTGAACATCTTTACCATTGTGATCACTGCTGTCTTATATGTGCTATCAATCTGCTGTATGGTGTCTACTAATCTTGTTTAAATTACCAATCAAGTTGTCAATGTAATCAATCAGAGCTTTAATATACCAATGTGCTTTACTATACTTACTAATCTCTCTCATCTCATTTTTTTCTTGCAATGTATCTTATTTTATTAATTCTGCTAGAATTTACCTACTTAAAATTATCTGTTAGATTAAGGACCTGCCTGAAACGCTGCGCGTACAAGTGGCTTTACAAGATTGTAAATACTATGCTATGTATTCTCACAAACCCAATGTACCTTCTTGTATATAAATAAATAAATACATTAAAACCAGTTCAATTTTCCCTTGATTTTAATAGAGCTTCGAGTATATGTATCCACTAGAAATCCGCGCCAAAACCCTATTAGAAATTTCCACCAAAACTTCCCACACATAGTGACGTACCTCGACCCACTCCGTGGAGCCTAGGAGGCCATACTCTTCCGCGCCCCAGCTGCACAACACCAGAGTTCGTCGTGGTCGCCAACCTACACGAAAATGGCAGACAAATTTGGAGTAATTCACAATACATGCATTTTTAAATTAATCGGTTATAAACAATATAATTTTAGATTGAGAATAGCGTTATAGGTTTAGGGAACGGATTACTAGGCATCATAATAGGGATCGCTGGATAGTATTAACCGTGCGTAAATACATGTGTGAATAAGTTTTTTGGATGTAACCACAACACCTCACTGAATTATTCAAATTTACTAAAAAATAAAAAAATAAATTATTTAAGAAATATAGTTAAAAAATGCCAAAAAAAGCTAAAGGGTTTAATTCAACTCAGATAATATACACTGTCGTTAAGACAAATTTCAGAATGCAGCGACTGACTGACCTTCTGTGATGAGCTGGCCGAGGACTCTGGCTGTCTCCAGCATTTGGGCGGTGCCGCTGGAGGGGTCAGCGGCCCCGTACCCCCAGGCGTCACGGTGGTTCCCCAACAGCACGTAGCGATCTGTCAACATCACATTCTTCGTCACTACCACCCAAACTTACTTACTAGTAAGCTCAACATTTATTAAATGAGACTCAACTCCGGTGAACTGAATTAAAGTTTGCAATTGGAGACAGACTCAACTCACCAGGCTCCACGTCTCCCCTGATGGTGGCGATAACGTTGTAGGAGCGGCGAACCTGCAGGGTATTGTGGGTGTTGAGTCTGAGGCGGTAGGAACGGTACTGGTCCAGGAACTCCGGCCCCAGGTTGTATGCCACGCCCGTCAGGCCGCCCTTCCACGCCCCGGGGGCCGGGGTGCCGCCCATCTTCCTGCAGGAGAGTGTTAAATTATCTATTTTTTCTTGGGGCGAAAATGCTTATATTGTATAGTGATGTCTATCTGTTTATTTCAAGGATCAGCGTCACCACGACCCGGTCTCTGACCAGGCTTCCTGGTTCAACCAGGCTGCGCAATTCAGCTACTCGCAGCCTGACATGAGGCACAGCCTGGTTGATCGGGATATCTTTTGAAGGTGCTTATCGAGTTCTCTTTCGAGCAGTTCGGCCAGTTATGCCCCGTAAGGGGTAGTGTTGAAAAGTCTTGGGCCTCTGATGTTGATAGAGTTCTCTCTCAGCGTGCCTATTGCACATCTACTTTTCAGTGGGGCTACTTTGAACATCCTACCATGCATGCTTTCTGGTCTCATGTGGTGTTATTTCTGTTTGCAGATTTTGAACCAGTCCTCCTAATATTTTCCAAGTGTAAATTAGTATGTATCTCTCCCTCTTGTGCTCTAGGGAATAGATTTAAAATTTTTAGACGGTCCCAATAATTTAGATGTTTTATTGAGTGGATTCTAGCAGTAAATGAATTTTTAACATTCTCCACGTACGCGATTTCTCAGGCATTTTATACAGTAAAGTTTGTCTTTACTTTGTCCTTTTATATTTAATTATTACAAATTCTCGCTTTGCTAACCAGTATATGAACTTTAATGATGTGTTCTAATTATCCTCCACTAAGTGTTATTCTCCAAGTACACAATAAAGTTTTGTACTTAGACAAATATATTTTCACGAGTTTTTAATGCAAAAATATGATGGAACAAAATTTCTTACTTCAGATAATACAGTTTCAAAATAACTGTCATACAAAAGTGCCCGTATCCTAACCTACCAAAAGACCTAAAACAGAAAACGGGACAATATGTCAATTTCACGAGCCGTTAATATTTTCTAGTACGACCATTTCTGGCCTTAAGTAGAGTGTATGTCAAAATGTGTCGTTCTATTAGGAGGACGGGTTGAATTACACACAATATGAACCCTGCAGACACTGCCTTAAAAGGGTTTACTTATTGGTAACTCACAGCTTTATTATGGACGAGGTAGCAACAGTCTCAGAATAAGGTCATGGAGACAGAGCACACAACACCCAACTTCATCAACACAGGACAATATGCGAGGGTGTGACGTATCATGGGCGACAACAGTCAAGGTGTCATACACTGCTACTGATGCCAGCCAGACAAATGCCATATTCAAGCCCCTGGAGCCCAGCACTAAGTAAACCAGAGCACTGACCCAAACATAAACATGTCTGAGTCAAGATGAAGATGCATGATCATGATCCCAGACACTGATGAACATGATATTGTTCATACAAAATTATACTTGATGATTATTTAGGCCGCGGCCATTGCCACTGCCCAAATAACCTTGTTGTTGATAGACCTTAAGCATAATATCAAACAATGAGTTCGTGGTCATGTGCAGAACTAGGTCAATTAAACTGCAGACAAACTGGGAATACTGTAGATGTCAATATTCTGGGTAGTTAAACCGTCCTCTCGAGTTATCACAACTTCACAAAAATGACATACTAAATTGCCTGAACCTAACCCAAATTACCGAGAACTATAAAACGAGTTTGTAAACAACTATTCTCGCGAGTACACATCCCTATCAGGTGCCTGGCGTAAACATGATTAAGGGCGCAATCCGTTCACCTTCAGTACAAACTACAACAATGGACGAGCAGCGAATAACAATACGACCAGCCTGCCTATGTACATATATGCTTGCAACAGTGAGATCAACATTACCAGACGTAAAATAGTGCAAGTATTGCGAACAATTAAATTAACCTTATTCCAACAAGTACTAAAGTGTAAGTAATAAAGTTCCCACCAATAAGAGATCGCCTAACAAGATAACTACCTAAACTCTCGTTTCTTGAAGATTCTTCAACTCTAATAGCACTTTCTTAAATTAAATTAACAAGCACATAAATAAACATATTTTGGAGCAAAACACATTGTATGTTGCTGCATTTTTTTCGCAGTATAAAACAAAAAACACAATTCAGTTGATCCATCAACCCCTCATACACATTCAATCACTTCATCACTCATTCATCTTCAACACTCATTCATCCTTATCAATCTCCTCCAGCACCTTTCAAACTCATATTTCATCTAACTACAACACCTTCCCCACGAGTCAAGCCCAGACTTACTCCAGAATAGCTCGGGCGTTGTCGTAGCCTATGGGCTGGCAGGGGATTTTGGCCAGGTTGGCGTCCTCTTCCTTCAGTCTGTAGGCGTGAGCTGTGGGCGAGACACCATGGTTACTCTGGTGAGGACTTACCACTATGTTGTTCAACCCGTTCTCGCAAATTCGTAAAGTCAATATTGACTTATTAACTACGTGCATAGGTGATATACTAAACATAATAGATACCCCTAAAAAGATTCATAGAAAACACCGACCTTACCTAACCTTGTTAGTATCTTAAGATAAGCATCTTATTGCTTCGTAATTACAATTATTACTTAACCTATACCTATTATAGGTTAGGTAATAATTGTAATTACGAAGCAATAAGATGCTTAAGATACTAACAAGGTTAGGTAAGGTCGGTGTTTTCTATGAATCTTTTTAAGGGTATCTATTATGTTATGTCACCTATGCACATATTTAATAAGTCAATATTGACTTCTAATTTGCGAGAACGGGTTGCGTTGTTCATGGTTGTTCGTGATGATGGTGGTTTAATGCAATTAGAAACATACAAGTTAGAGAAATTACTTCAGATTCAAAATTAAGAAATGCCCAGAGACCTGAAAGCTGCAGTATTAAAAGTTATGACAACTTTTGTAATAATAGGTATTTGTATGGTCAGCACAGTAGCTGGACCAGGCAATGTGATGCAGTCATTGCGCGAATTCGCCTTGGCTATAGACATACCTGGCAGGTTAGTGAGACTGAGCCACTATATCAGAATATTCAGATTTGTAAACTCTGTAACAAACCCTTAATGCATTCACTAGGACACTATATTGTTGAATGTGAAACCGTAAAAGATTTTAGACCTCCTGGCCTATTGTACCACCAACTGTGTAACTATTTCATTGAATACTGGTGTACTGGACGACATCCTAACAATTTATCCAAAATTTGCTTGTCCATTTTAAAGACTGAAGAACAATTTTATTTATATTATTTTTAAGCTGCATCTGTTATGAACCCATCCCTGCCCTTGTGTGGCAGTGCACAATAGAAAGTTGTATATACATATTTGTAAATTGAAGCGTGTATACAGGCTAATGTAGTTGATTGTAACCATTATATTATATATATATATATATATATATATATATATATATATATATATATATATATATATATATATATATATATATATATATATATATATATATATATATATATATATATATAATGTGTGTGCTTCAGCCTACAGTTTAGTCCTATTATCTTGTGTATGATCCTCTGTCCTGCGTGACAGTGAATACCAGCATTATCCTCACTCTAATAAGACCTAATTGTATTTCTCAGATTAGGCAAAATTGTAATTATTTTTTGTCAATCATGATGTTAATAAAAATATTGGTGGTGGTGAAGATGGTTCATGATAAGGGTAAAGATGGTTCATGATGGTGGTGAAAATGGTTCATAATGATGGCAAAGATTAGTAAGTTATTATTATTAAATCTGATTTACAATAGACTCACTGAAAGACAGGAAGACTGGCCCCCGATAGAAAGTTAAAGAGTCAGACACCAGAGACCTACCTGTAGAAGGCCAGGAGGGAGTGAGAGGGTCACCGCTGCCCATATAAGTGGTGCCTCTCTGCATGCCGGTGCCAGGGAGCCACCAGGTGTTGGGGTACACCTTCTCGGGTTCCACGCCCTCCAGGGCCACATCCTCGGGGTCCGAGAACAGGATCAAGCCCTTGGCTCCTCGATCCTGGGCGTGTAGCAGCTGAGGGGGGTGAAGACGTGTATTAGTTCAGGTTGCAGATGACTCGGGTGTTGCTGTACACAGGACGAGTTGGTTGATAGGTAGGGGAACACACTGGTTGACCTGAAACATCTGCCAAGTACCAATGAAAGTTATTAAAGATATAGGTGCTAGGGGTCGGAAACCTTCGGTACACAGAAAGGTGTTCCCAGCTGCTCCGTGTGTATAATATATACAGTTTTCGTTATTCTTGAACGACATTTAGGCCAGGAGGGTTGCTAGATGGTCATTAGGCTATTGTAGAGGCATAAAATAACCCTCCAGAGTCTGCATTAACCTCAACACTAGTCAACCATCCTTTGGAAATTTGTACCTGATTAACATCAAGAATGCAACCTTTAGGAAAGATGTCAAAAAACTAAATTTCATGGAATTACTAAATGACATTGTTAAGAGAACTTCAATATACCGAAAATACCATTAAGTATGATTTCAACACTGACCTTGTTGCCTCTGAAGATCTTGCCATAGCGAGCGATGACGATGGAGCCAGAGACGTTGACGTTGAGCTTCTCCAGCGTGTCGAAGTCCTCAACCCTGGCGTAGTTAGCGTACACGACGCCTCGCCCGGCCTCAGACTCCACGTCCCCTGGGGGGAAAGGCCGGAGGCTCACCACCATATCTTAACACTTCTCTCTCAACCACTCTACTCTTATTGTGCAAGACGGCTTTTATATTACAATTTATACCTAGTGAAAGTCTATATCATAATGTTCTCATTCTGTATATAAACACAATAATCAGCTGCCCCAGCACCCACTCACCACCTGCCCCAGCACCCACTTGTGCTACACGGAACAAATTTAACAGGTTCCTGGCTGAATGTCAAAAAAAATCTCTTGACAATTCAACACGATGTATAAAGTGACACTGACACCAGCTAAGTTGTTGTCTGCAAAGGTTCTTCACACCTCACAGTGGCGACTTTCGTCTGGAGCTCTTGGTGGCGTCTACCCTGGTGGCTTGGGTAATGGTGTCTCTCTCTGAGCGCGTCGCCTCGTGTACTGGCGTCTCCCCTGCCCCGCTCCGCGTCCCGCATTTGATACACAAATTATTTACTACGAATATTATCATTTCTCGCAGTTGTGATTGAAATGCTTGGATAAGGACGGGTATATTATTCAGAGGAGTTAAATATTATTATTTGCCCGTTTTACGATGGTAAACAAGCAATGGAGATGAATTAAAATCTCTCCAGGGCATTCACGCGTGACGTTAAATTTATTACCAGATAACAGTTATAACTATAAACGCTCTATTTGGCAATAGTTGGGGATCAGTTTATCTGTAAATAATTATCACACAGAACACCGTTGTTTTATAGAGAATCAAACTCAATTCTCAGACACACTGGATATAGTTGTGTTTATTATAATGGAATCTGACGCAATACTGGCGTCCAGTGACGTAAGAATTCTAGCCTTATTGTACAGATGTAATTATTAGTACATGTGAACTCTACGTTTGGTTAATTTTAATTACTACAATGATTAGTAGATTTAGTAATAATTAATAATAATACAACAGTGTTGTATTATGTTGGAAATTTCCAACATAACTCCGGGGGGAGAATTCTAGGGTCGCAGTGTAATGTGGAGTACTGACACACCCATCCCGAAGTTAATACTAATATTAGTATATTAGTAGGTTAGTATGTTAGTACACACATAACGAATGTCCCGTATTTGTCAAGGACATACAAGAAACTTAAGTCTTGCTGATTTCATGTTAAATGGAACATGTTATTATAAATTACCTAAAGCTAATAACTAAGAACTTACCCTAGACTCTGTGACTGGTGTCGTTATGACATGTAATGTGTATGTTACGAAATCTCAAAGTCTGCAAACTCTCAGATACTCTAGATAAATAATATTATTTATAGCCTATACAACAATTAAAGATTTAAATCACACAATTCAAACAACAGAATCTACGGTGATGAGAATGTCCTGGGTCATAGTGACTTGTAATGGTTTGTTACTTGACTTCACACCACCATATCATCATAGTTATCTAAATTGGATATAAAAATGAATTACTCTTGGTCAGAGCTGTAATAGGCTTGCAGTTTCCGCTTACATTGTTGAGCAGCAGCTCTAGCGGGGCGGTTGCTCGGAGGATCAGAATTACTGTCCTCGGAAACTACTGGGGAAGCTAGTTCTGGTTGATACTCTCGTTCAGCCAATTCGAGAGGAACCAGCTTCTCTAAAGTTTTTAGAGTAGTGTTGCCTCGGCATAAAACTTTCCCTACTCTCAGGACACCTTGATGATCTGGATGAATGGCAACAATTTTGCCTATGGGCCACTCTGACCTTGGTCCATCACTGTCGACTAGTACTAGGTCCCCTGGTTTAAGCTGTACTTTATTGTAAGGACTCGAAGCTCCGTAGTGGTACTCTCGTAGAGCTGTGAGGTACTCTCGAGTCCACACCTCATTCCACCTGTTAATAACCTTTGAGAGATGCTGGTAGCTTTCCACCAAGTCACCTCTGGTTACATGAGACGGGTCTACGGGGTCCTCTTCGGCTAAAGGGATGAGAGGGCTCAGTAGACCTCCATGTATCAAGTGTGAGGGACTCAGAGGCTCTCTCTGGGTGAAATCATCAGACAGGTATGTGAATGGGTGGTTATTGACTCGCGCCTCGATTTCCACAACAATGGTTTGGAGTTCGGAGTAACTGACCCTTTGTCTGTGTAAGGTTTTTCTTAAACACTTCTTGACTGTGCCTATCATTCGCTCATAGAACCCACCTTGCCAAGGGGCTCTTGGTGCTATAAATTTCCAGTGACATTGTCGTCTCTGCAGGACTGACTGTACTTCTGGGTGATTCCAGACTTGTCGCAGACAGGCTTCTCCTGCCACAAAATTGGAACCATTGTCCGATATCATTAATTTGGGACAAAATCTGCGAGCTGCAAATCTGCGGAAGGCCTGGATGAAGGCTTCAGCACTCATATCTGAAGTCACTTCTAAATGTACGCCTCTGGGTGTAGCACACGTAAAGAGACAAATGTATGCTTTCACTGGTATCTTGTCTGGGTTGCCAGTGAGAAGTAAGGCTCCTGTGTAATCAACACCAGTGGTTTCAAAGGGACGATGATGAACCACTCTTTCTTCAGGGAGTGGTGGAGGTCCTGGGTAAGGACATACTCTAGCATCGTATCTTTTACAGATTACACAGAATTTAATTATTGACTTGACTGTCTGACGGCCTTGAGGAAGCCAGTACTTTTGTCTAAGGTCGGTGAGAGTATCTAACACTCCACCATGTAAAGTACCATATTGATGGTGATGTAAAACAAGAAGTTTAGTGATGATGTGGTGACGAGGTAGAAGAATTGGATTCTTTGTGTCCAGATCAATTTTTGCATGAAGCAAACGTCCTCCACATCTTAGTATATTATGAGTGTTGGCATCATACCAGATACCTAGAGACTTGTTTAATTTATCCGGAAGATTTTCATATTCGCTTCCATATGTCTCTTGTTGTGCACGTTTGATCCAGTAGAGGATAGGATTGGGAAACTTATGTCGAATTCCCATCTTAGCAAGAAAGTCAAACACATGTGCAGTTACTCTTAATAACTTACTTAAGTTAGAATAATTGTGAGGATCAATGGCTAAGATTCGTTGAGGTTCTGGTTCTTTCATGGGAGTGGTGATATTGGTCACTATGACTTGTGGCTTTTGTTTGGGCCACTGACCACCAACAAGCCATGAAGGTCCATTGAACCACAGTGAAGACTTGATAAGTTGTTTTATCGTTAACCCTCGAGATAAATAATCTGCAGGATTGTCCTTAGTAGGAACATGTCTGAATTTATATCCAGCAGATAACTCATGAATCTCCCTAACACGATTACTGACGTAGGGAGTCTTGTTGTTGTTGTTTCATACCCATTGTAAGACTGCCTCGTTGTCTGACCACACGACAATCTCACCAAAGTGGATATTATTGAGTGTCTTTGTCAGGCAATGAGCCAATCTTACTCCCACCAGCAAAGCAGTCAACTCCATATGAGGTAAAGATCTCTTCTTAATGGGAGCAACTCTTGCTTTAGATGTGAGCAAAATTGATTGTGCACTATTAACTAAGTAGGCTACAGCGCCATATGCTTTGCCAGAGGCATCGCAGAAAACGTGCAAATTGGTGGGTAAGTTTGGTCCTGAAGCATTACGAGGAAATTTCAAAACACCTAACTGATTAAAATCCGTTGAGAGTATCTGCCATTTGGCTTGTAACTCACATGGTAACGGATCATCCCATCCCATATGTTTCTGCCAGCACTCCTGCATTAGGAGTTTGCCCCTTATTAATATAGGACTAAGTAAGCCTAAAGGGTCAAATGGTTGACTGACAAATGAGAGCAATGTTCTCATGGTAAGGGTTGAGTTATCGGTTTGTACTGACTTGACATTCATCTTGTCAGTACTGGTGTTCCATTCCACACCTAGAACCTTTAATTGATTGGGTACCTGATAACCTGGAAATTCTTTCTCGATTACCTGGTTGAGTAATTCATTATTTGAGGCCCATGACTGTAGTGGCATATTGGCTCCTAATAGCTCACGGTTAGACTCATGGTAGATTTCTACCAAATTAGTTTGATCATTAGTTGTTCCCTGGAAATTGTCGACATACATGTTGTCGCTAATGTCTGCCTTATAAGGGCTATTTGATTTCCTCAAATGTGTGTCTAATGTTGCTTGCAAAAGAAACGGTGAGGACGTAGCTCCGAATAATACTGAGGCAAAACGATATGTGATGATATAACTGTTAGGATCCAGTGGGTCCTTAATCCAGAGGAACTTTGTGTAATTACAATCTTCCTCCTGCAAACCTACTCGGAGGAAAGCTTTGCTGATATCAGCAGTATAGGCGAAAATACCAATGCGAAATCGTAACAGCACATCATGTAGCCTTTGTGTTAGGCTAGGTCCCATTTGGAGACATTCATTTAAAGACACTGCTTGGCTTTACTTTAGCACTACAGTTAAAGACAATACGAATAGGTGTTGTCAATGAGTCTTTCACCACAGCATGATGAGGTAAATAATGACCTAATTTTCGGTCATCGTTATCAACAACTTCAATAAATTTACTGTCAAGTTGTTGTTGGATGAATTGATGATACATGTTCAGTTTGTCTGGCTGCTTCTGTAGTCGTGCTAATTGAGACTGCAATTGTGAGGCTGCCATAAAATAATTAACTGGAAGTTGTGGATGATTCAACCTCCATGGGAGTCTTACCCAGTAGTGTTTATTTTCATAGACAACTGTATCCAGATATTGCTGGTAAGTCCACATATCATCAGGGCTTGGTTGTTCAGGGATAATACCTAAAGTGTCTAAATCCCACAGACGATGTACAGGTGGATCAGACTCAATATCTTTAGATATTTCTCTGAAACGTAGGGGTGACTGTTCCAAGCCTAGTCATGCCACTATTATGTTATTAGACTCTTGGTTTGTTGACGCTGGATTTTGTCGGAAAAGCACCGGTCCAGTAAGCAATTTGCCTCCAGCAGATGACAACAAATTCATTCCGTGTTGTCTGGTGCATCCAGTTATAAATTTGTAATAATGATCCGCGCCTATAAGTATTCCAACATCAGTGAGGCAGTCAGAATTTATTTTATAATCTGCTAGCCTCATGCGGTTTCGTTTAAGATGTCTCGCAGTGCGAGCTAACCCTGTGACCTGTAGGTCTGTAGGAAGTTTATCTACTACTACCGCTTGTATTGGACTAGTGGAAGATCCAAGTCTCACTAATACCTTAACTACTTGGTATTCACGAGGTCCACTATTCGTCAAGAAACCAGAAATATTTAACCTCACACTTTTGGTAGGTTTTAAATTTAACTTATCTACTAACTGTTGTGTAATGAAGGTTTTCTGTGATCCTTGATCAAAAAGACCTCTAGTGTTAACTCTAGATCTTCGGTTTATTAGTCTAAGTTGAGCTGTATGCAGAGTGGTATTATTGCCTGACTCAGTAGCAAGTACATTTACTTCTTGATGCACTTTGCAATATTGCACTGCGGTAGAATTCGTGGAATTCTCCCCAGTGGTCATGGTTGGTGTAGAAGATTTTCTACATAAGGCGTAGTGATGTACACCTTGGTTGCATCTGTTGCAGGAACGTAGCTGCACTACACATTTTTTGGGATCATGAGAGCCCATGCACTTGGTGCACTTGTGTATTTCTTGCAACCTTTTAATCCTAGTATTATAAGTAGGATAAACAGAGAATTGGTAAGTGGCATGTCCTTGATTACAGAACAGACACCTTCTCTGGTTAGTTGACTTGGTCTCTTTAGTAGACAAGTCATTGGTTATCTCAGAAGGAGACACCGAATAAGTACCTACATTTCCACTTCTTTTCCCAGTGGATGGAGTAGTCTTGGATTTATATTTACTAGACTTATTCAAAGTCGGTTTGGGTTTAACTGAAGTGTCAGTATTAATTGGTTTAGACTCAGGTTTAATTTTATCATGAGTCTTCAATCTGTTAACCGTTATTCTCAGTCCCTCGAATATTTGGTCAAGAGTGAGAAACTCGGTATTATAGTGTGAGCAGAGCTCTGTTAAGACATTTCGAGGTAATTTCCTCTGCAAAAGTAACTTGATTGACCATTCTGAAGCTGGTATATCAACTTTAGTACCTAAGGCCTTTACTAGAGACTCTACTTCTAGTCTGAAGCTTTGAAGTGACTCTGGTCTACTATTTGGTGCATTCAGATCTAGCAATTGGTAATAGAGGGTTATCTTGAGAGGTTATCTTGAGATGATTTCGGGGCTTTTAAGTGTCCCCGCGGCCCGGTCCTCGACCAGGCCTCCACCCCCAGGAAGCAGCCCGTGACAGCTGGCTAACACCCAGGTACCTATTTACTGCTAGGTAACAGGGGCATAGGATGAAAGAAACTCTGCCCATTGTTTCTCGCCGGCGCCTGGGATCGAACCCAGGACCACAGGATCACAAGTCCAGTGTGCTGTCCGCTCGGCCGACCGGCAGCTATACTTAACTCTTTGTTGCAATAGTTCAACTTCAAAAGTTTTATAGCTTCCTCAAAATTACTCTCATCGAGAGTTAGGTTATGTATGACCTTTTTAGCCTCTCCTTTGAGAAGACTAAGTAGGTATGAGAATTTAGAAACCTTGTCAAGAGACTGTTTCTTGTGTATGTGAACTTCAAATGAAGTCCAAAAATTGTCCCAATTTTCTGTATCTAATCCTGAAAATGTAGGTAAGTCTAAAGTAGGTAAACGAACCTCTGGTAGTTGGTTACTGAATTGAGACCCTGTGTTACTGGTATTGGATCCAGATTGTTTTGCTAGTTTAGATAGCATGTAAAGTTTATCTTGAGTCTCATCTTCATACTGGGAGATATCGTCTACAATTTGACTTACTTCATCAGGATCAGTTTCTATGGTATTCAGTAGAGTAAGATAAGACTGACTTGTAGACTTAACTAGATCAAATTTCAGATCAGCTACTCTTACCGATGTCTCTAAGTGATAAGAGTCAATGGGAGTATCCTTAAATAAGCCCTCAGCCTTGTTAATTAGTCTGGTCAAATGACCTTTAAGGCTAATATAGGTTCTCCTTAATTGCTCAGGAGTAGCCATGTTGGGCTTGGGTCCAAACTTCATGGAATTAGTATATGTATTACTAATGAAGCTTGGGTACTTGTTCATTGGTTGACAAGTAACATTAAATGTAGCCTAATTTAATGTGGCTAATTTATACTCTACCTCACTTGAGGTTAAATGTACCTACCTAACAACAAGTAGCTAGATATTTTGTGCATTGTCTGAACTTCACCATTAGTTCTCGTCCGGTTAGCTCTTCTATATCACCATTAGAGGTAATGGGGATCATCCAGCAATACACAAAATAGATACATACAAATAATGAGTACAAGAGAAATATTATGGAGACACTCCAATCAGAGTTATCTGAAAGTTTAATCCCACCCTGGATAGGGTCAGCACAAATAGTATAATACATACACTACTGACTAGCTAAAGTCTAGTCGTGATAATTCCTACCTAAGAACTATAAATTTATTTAGTCTGTGCTTGTACCAAATTCAGCACAATCTCAGCCTAAATTCTACCTAATAAGATTGGTAAAGATTATTGTGGTGCAGAAAGGTGAATATAATTGTGCTGTATTTTTGGTTTTTTTGTTTTTATAAGGGTGCACTTGCACACACAAGTGAAAACATAGAAAGGTTATGAGCTGATGCTCCTGGTGACCTAAAGATTCTTACTTCAGTATGAAGTGTAGGCCTAAGTGTTGTGGGCAATTAACTGTGTCCCACTAGTGCTATCTTGTACATGAGGTGAAAGTAGCAATGAATTGGTGTGACTTAGACTAACTTATGTGTTACGCTGTTGGCAGACACAATAATTAAATGGTTAGTCTAGATTACATCACACAAGGATTAGTTATTAATAATTAGTATTTATAATTATAATTTATGTTTATCCGGTTCGAAGGACCATAATGTGGGACATTTGGGGCTTGACTCTATTTATTTAAATATTAATGTAATGAAAATCAATTACGAAGGACCACCCGCTTTAATAGTAAAGAGGGAAACTAATAAAATATGATCATTAGAAAATTCCTAGATGAACCAGTAACTATGGATAAAATACTAGAGAATATGATCACTTATATAATTAATGGGCTGTATAATTTAACTGAATCAAAGCCTCAAACACCTACATTGGGGGGTTATTACTGGAACTTCATATATGTCCAGGAACTAGTGTGGTTCGTGCACCAGTTCATTATGCAATAATCTAATCCTATGACCAATTATAGAATCATTATATTGGTCACCAATAAGAACATAGATTATGAACATGAGAAATTAACAATTATAATAAACACATGTTACTCCATAAAACAGTGCTCCGCATGAATAATACTACAGATAATGGAATTTAAGGAATACGGAAAGGGTCTTAGCTTGAAGACGATTTCCAAGACATCGGTTATGACTCATCCTCGGAATCTCCTGGACTCATCATGGAACACTGGGAGAAGATTAACACGGGAAATGACAGCTCGGGGAATTCTTCACACACGCTGCAAATCAAATTATATTCAGTAGCAACAGATTAAGCTGCTAGACATCTATGTTCAAGATAATTAAATCAAAGAATGGAGGCAGATAATAACCTGTGGTTTTTTATAGTCGCTCTGCGTGACGACAAGCTACCCAGCTATAACCCCCTCCTAAATGATGCATCAAATGGGAATAAAGGTACTTAGCTAATAGGGCACTGTGTAAGTTAAGGCTTGCCGAAGTTCGCGTCCTAGGTTCAGGCGTCGTTGTAACGAACACGTGGTGTCGAGCCTAGCCTAGATGTTGACGCGCTTCTCTGGCCGGTCACGTTGTGCTACACGGAACAAATTTAACAGGTTCCTGGCTGAATGTCAAATTAAATCTCTTGACAATTCAACACAATGTATAAAGTGACACTGACACCAGCTAAGTTGTTGTCTGCAAAGGTTCTTCACACCTCACAGTGGCGACTTTCGTCTTGAGCTCTTGGTGGCGTCTACCCTGGTGGCTTGGGTAATGGCGTCTCTCTCTGAGCGCGTCGCCTCGTGTACTGGCGTCTCCCCTGCCCCGCTCCGCGTCCCGCATTTGATACACAAATTATTTACTACGAATATTATCATTTCTCGCAGTTGTGATTGAAATGCTCGGATAAGGACGGGTTTATATTCAGAGGAGTTAAATATTATTATTTGCCCATTTTACGATGGTAAACAAGCAATGGAGATGAATTAAAATCTCTCCAGGGCATTCACGCGTGACGTTAAATTTATTACCAGATAACAGTTATAACTATAAACGCTCTATTTGGCAATAGTTGGGGATCAGTTTATCTGTAAATAATTATCACACAGAACATCGTTGTTTATAGAGAATCAAACTCAATTCTCAGACACACTGGATATAGTTGTGTTTATTATAATGGAATCTGACGCAATACTGGCGTCCAGTGACGTAAGAATTCTAGCCTTATTGTACAGATGTACTTATTAGTACATGTGAACTCTACGTTTGGTTAATTTTAATTACTACAATGATTAGTAGATTTAGTAATAATTAATAATAATACAACAGTGTTGTATTATGTTGGAAATTTCCAACAGCACCCACTCACCAGCTGCCCCAGCACCCACTCACCAGCTGCCCCAGCACCCACTCACCACCTGCCCCAGCACCCACCTGCAGGCGAGAAGGCATTGAAGGCGTGGACGAACTCTGGGTCGTCATCATCCTGCTGCAGCGGGGTCTCCGTGTAGGCGCTTGTGAAGACAACTTTGCCAGCACCGTCAATAAGGGTGATCTGTGATAACACGAGTCAAGTTAACAATATTTTATGTAAGAATATAAAGATTACTGTAAATCTTGTCTTACTTCTACTTGGATTAACTGATAATATTAAATTCTCATTTAATGTTAAGCGTAAAAATAGAAGAGGCTTATAAGACAAGCAACCTCGTTTATAACAACAGATTAGAGTACCTCCTCACTTTGTACCAGGCTTCAACATGGCCCGGTAACAAGGTGAGGGACCTCAAAGTAAAGGGGCTGCAATATAGTAGTGTAGTTTGCTTCGTTCTCGACTCGCAGTCGGAAATTTCTGGTTCGAATCCTAAGCGGGGACAGAAATGGTTGGGCGCGTTTCCCTACCACCTAATACCTTTGTTCACCTATCGGTAAATAGGTACCCAGGAGTTAGTCAGCTTGTTGAGGGTCAATAGTTCGACCTTGGGGAAGGTACCTCGATACAAGCCTAACGTTGTGTGTGTGTATATACATACACACATACGTACGTACATACACATACATACATACATACAGGCTGCCTGTCGCCAACAAACTGGATAATTATTATTATTAAAGCGAGGCTCTTGACAAAGATCAAGGTCACAGGTCTCTGGCCGTGGCATTTCTGGGCCGCAGCGGGACGAGGAGAACCAGATGGCTTTCACAGCGGCTCAGGTGGTAGCAAGGGTAAGTACGAGGTCTAACTTACAAGGTCGAGCCTCATCTCCCAAGCCCCAACATTCGTACCTAGACTATTTTCAAGCGAGGACTTTTGTTCTCTCGATTTTCTTATAGTTACTACTGAACTTGCGAATTGAGTTGGCATCAAGCACAATTCCTCGTCGATTCCAATGCACTTATTGGCAACTCTTACCCCTGAAGGTCGTCTTGGTATCTTCTCTGGTTGATTTGTGCCCCTTCACGCTGTTGCTTATTATCTGAACACTGCTTCTTTGTCTGCGTGGTCAATTTACCTAATGATCTTTTATGTCGTTATCATGTCCGCTGTTCCATACCTCCTCCAGGTGTTCCTAACCTCATACAGACTATACACTCGGAGTATATACTTTAGTCCTTAACGTTACTCAGGACTAAAGTCCAATCCACACAGACCAGCTGCATCTCTTCTGAACTGAAGCAGCCCCCGTCCTCTCCAGCGTTCACACCAGCACTAAACTGATGTACTAAATTGCCCGAAACTAACTTAACCAAAGACCCACCAATAGAAAACGGGACATCCCGTCAATTTTGCGACCCGCTGTGATTTTTAGTACATGGGATTTTGGCCTCAAGGGGATTTATACGTCAAAATACGATGTACTAATCAAGAGTACGGGTTGACAATTCATGGCTGAGCCGCTGGGTAGAGTACATGTTCTTACCCGAAACGCTATGCGTACTAGTGGCTTTAGGTATTGTATGTACTACCTACCTCCTACCGAGCCGGTCGGCCGAGCGGACAGCACGCTGGACTTGTGATCCTGTGGTCCTGGGTTCGATCCCAGGCGCCGGTGAGAAACAATGGGCAGAATTTCTTTCACCCTATGCCCCTGTTACCTAGCAGTAAAATAGGTACCTGGTTGTTAGTCAGCTGTCACGGACTGCTTCCTGGGGGTGGAGGCCTGGTCGAGGACCGGGCCGCGGGGACACTAAAGCCCCGAAATCATCTCAAGATAACCTCCATCTTCCAGTACTTTTTCTCATCCTCATATCGGACATAGACCAGAACACAACCTATAGCACTGTATCATCCTTTGCAGATGACACTAGGATTTTCATGAGAGTTGGCAACATAGAGGACACGGCAAACCTCCAATCAGATGTAGATCAGGTCTTTCTATGGGGTACAGAAAATAATATGGTGTTTAACGAGGATAAGTTCCAGCTTATGCGCTACGGAAAAATTGAAAATATAAAAACAGAAACCACGCACAAAACTCAGGCAAATCATGACATAGAACGAAAAGGCAATGTAAAGGATCTGGGTGTACTCATGTTGGAAGACCTTACCTTTAAAGAACACAATAAAGTAGCCGTCACAACTGCAAGAAAAATGACAGGTTGGATAACAAGAACTTTCCACACTAGAGATGCTATACCGATGATGATTTTTTTCAAAACGCTTGTGCTCTCTAGAGTGGAGTACTGCTGCACAATGACAGCCCCTTTCAAAGCTGGAGAAATTGCTGACCTGGAGAGCGTGCAGAGATCCTTTACTGCTAGAATCCACTCAGTAAAACATCTAAATTACTGGGACCGACTAAAGAGCCTAAATCTGTACTCCCTTGAGCGCAGGCTGGAGAGATACATAATAATTTACACGTGGAAAATAATTGAGGGGCTGGTCCCAAACCTGCACACAGAAATAACATCACATGAGACCAGGAGGCATGGCAGGATGTGTAGAATACCCCCGTTGAAAAGCAGAGGTGCAACAGGTACTCTGAGAGAGAACTCTATCAACATCAAAGGCCCGAGACTGTTCAATACGCTTCCACTACACATAAGGGGCATAACTGGTCGACCCACTCAGTGTTCAAGAGAGAACTGGATAAGCACCTCCAAAGGATACCTGATCAACCAGGCTGTGACTCATACGTCAGGCTGCGAGCAGCCGCGTCTAACAGCCTGGTTGATCAGTCCAGCAACCAGGAGGCCTGGTCGACGACCGGGCCGCGGGGACACTAAGCCCCGGAATCACCTCAAGGTAACCTCAAGGTAATCTTTAAATCTAACAATGTTTGTACTGTAACGCTGCAACTATGTATGTACTGTTCCTAAATGTTTTAGGAATTATTATTATTGTTCCAAAATAAATTATTATTATTATTATTATTATTACATAAAGTATGCTTCTCAGTAGATGTGCGGTCGCCTCTTCAATTTTATTTAACAACTTTAGATAAAACCATAGACAGGAACCCCAGAGTAGTTGCGGGGTGTTTCTTTTGGCTTTCACGACTGCAATGCGTACGTCGCCAGTGTACATGTAACAGACGCTTCACGAAGCTGTCGGAATTTGCAGAAAGAAAATACGAGAGCAACCGTACAGGTCCTGAGAGCAAGGTCGAGTTAGAGTCCTTGAGGGTCTCTTCTCAGACTAGCCTCACCTGGTCCTGGTCCACGTTGATCGTTGGAATCTCCTCAATGATGTAACACTTTAAGGGACTCCCAGGGTCCTCATCACACTTATAGTTTGTGACTTATAGGCAACTCAGTGTTGAAGACACTTAGAGCTGAAGGCTTCAGTATTGTTGGCAGTATTCAGAAGTGGTTCAACGGAAACACCGCATAAAGCTTAACAGTAGTTTATTTACTAACTTAACCACTAATACACAGGGTGCTTGATTTACTTTAGATTCGCGTCAGCAAAGCTATGGTTGTATTAGCGAGACTCTTGACGTTTGGCTAAACGACTCGTATCCACTCGTGGAGAAACACCTAACTTAACACAGTTGACAGCCAATCATTAACACGGCAACCTAACTGCCGGTATGCAAAGGTATCACAAGAGTTCCAACCGGATACTCGGTAATGATGATATGCAATAAATCAACAACTACACTGTCAATGGGACAGGCAATAACATGCACAATGATATTATCACAATAACTAATTGTGTGGTGTATGTGAAGCTCACATTCACAGACTAGTGAAATGCAGTGATACCACACAGATAAACACGCATTCACCGTCGATTCACCTATAACCTGTGACAGGTATGAGAAGGTGAGAACTGTGGTTGATCCCTCAGATCAACACAGACACAATAAAACAATGACAAAATCTTGTACTTACAGATAGGGTACCATTCCTTACTCACTCACTCAGGCACATTTATACAAGCACTCGTAGGTGGCCTGACAGCTGGCTTCGCTCGTAGACACGGAGGGTACTTGCAGTAGGCCGGGCTGTATGCTTAATAGACACACGCGCACCCACTGGCACTGGCGATGAGCAAGGTGGTGACGTCACGTAGTAGTGTGAGGGCGGCGGCGGGCGCTCGAGGCACAGAAGTACACAGGTACTGGGGTACTGAAGTGCACGCTCGGGACGAGTGGCGGCTGTGGTACCATGCAGGTACACTTGTGGTAAAGTCACACACAGGTTACTTAGGCGGCGGCACTGCCTTAGTTCACTCTTAAGTCACTCACAACGATCTTTGTCACCAGGGGTTACCTGATACCAGTCTGTTTCGCTCTGGAGATTTGTCACTTTAGGCTTCTGAATACTATATTCACAACCCGTGATTCTGGGCGGGTGTGTCGTATAATCTTCAGATGCTGAGTTAACTTGACGGTGAGGAATAGACGGTGTTCAGTCTATTGGCCGGTAGACTGAACAGAACACGTCCACTTTGCTAGAGATCCCTCACAAGAATGCCTGAAGCTCAGGGCGTCTTGTGGCACACACAAGGGGATTACATTTTGACCAATGGCAGTGCAGCAAATGAGCGGGAACCAATCATATTACCTCGTTCGATGAGCAGTAGCAGGAGTGACGTCATGAACACGTCACGATCACGTCATAGCTGTTATTGTCCATCGCGCCGGTTGACCCCAGAGGTCAGACGGTCTGGCGTCTACTCTCTCTCACGCTCCACCACTGATGTACTCCCTGACCCTTTGGTGGCAAGTATGCTTAACTCCCTGTATCTACTTCCTGCCTGGACATACGGCGGCCTCCGTATTATGAAAGTGTTCCTGGTTAAGTGGGCATTCTGGAGATACCCAACATGCCAGGTCACTATCCAGGGTTAACAGAGATAGGACCTTGTGCACAAGATCGGTGCACTGTGCACAGCAATGAGCCATTCCAGTCAGCTGTGGGAGAATCTTGAGAGACACTCTCACAGTAGTGATGAGTTGTCCCATGATCATCAAAACTTTGTTAGTTATACAATGTTAAAATGACACTTTAGCTGCAACATGCTTAAGGTGTCACCCGTCTTTGTGCCCAATATTTTAAACGATGAATTATACATAACTGTCTTGTCTATCCTTATAGAAGGACAACATAGTTAGTGCCTTCATTATAAAGCCTTCGTTTTCTCTGAAGCAACAGAAGTCTTAACCCTTGCACTGCGCTCAACGAGATATTTCGTTTGACAGGTGGCGCGAAATAATTTCGAATTTAGCAACATTTCATTCTTAAACAGTTTTGGAGTTTCATTAATGTAATTTACCTTCTCTCTCATGTCTTAGGTCTTCTGTGGAACTCGGTGTACAATTATTTGCATATTATTTTGAGACAATCTTCAGGATGTCTGGATTTGGAGTAAATAGATATTTTTTAGGTTTAGCTACTCGGAATGAAATGTCCATGTAGCAAGGGCTATAGTGAGCCCGTAATGTGTAGTAAATAGCCTAGTACATGTCCATGTAGCACGGGCTATAGTGAGCCCGTCATGTGTAGTAAATAGCCTAGTACATGTCCATGTAGCACGGGCTATAGTGAGCCCGTAATGTGTAGTAAATAGATGTTCAACAACACATATGAAAGCACACTGACCTCAGGTGCAGCATTCTCTCCCGTCACCTGCTTAGTATGGGCCGACACGCCGGTTGTGCTCTTCTTGAAGCCATATGTTTGAGAAAAATCCTAGTCAATATGAACACTATTAAGACACACGTACCTTAACACACTCACAACTGCACCTCTACAGACACTCATATGACAATCACACCTTTATAAGTAATTATCAAAAGATGGTACCAAGCCGGGGGAGAATATGTAGCACCATCAAATATGTGGGATATTCAAAAGGCGCTAAACATCACCAAGGATGCCAATACGAGAACAAAAGCGCCTAAGGAGAACTATATCAAAGGTTTCTGCTTCACCAAGGATTCTATCGAGGGGACAAGTGACCGCGTCGGACGGTTGGGAAGCAAGACTCACGCTCGTCCTGGAAGTCAGGCCATTCAACAAGGATATGCACAACTGTAAGAGGGACAATGCAGTTTGGACAATAAGGAGCAGGGCGGCGCTCCATTAAGTGCCTGAGAGTTAAGCGTGTATGACCAATACACAACCTTGCTAGAGCCGTTTCCCACCGCCGGTTACGGGGCAACCCGTTCTCGCAAATTCGTAAAGTCAATATTGACTTATTAACTACGTGCATAGGTGATATACTAAACATAATAGATACCCCTAAAAAGCATAGAAAACACCGACCTTACCTAACCTTGTATATCTTAAGATAAGCCATTGCTTCGTAATTACACCTAACCTATACCTATTATAGGTTAGGTAATAATTGTAATTACGAAGCAATAAGATGCTTATCTTAAGTACTAACAAGGTTAGGTACGGTCGGTGTTTTCTACTTTTTAAGGGTATCTATTATGTTAAGTATGTCACGCACATATTTAATAAGTCAATATTGACTTATTAAATTTGCGAGAACGGGTTGTACGGGGACACACTACTCTTAAGAGTACGCAGTTTGTTACCAGTAACACAGGATCAACAACCCTGCCAACGGGCATGGATTCAAGAATGAATAACTGGGTAGAAGTTGAAATAAGGAACACCTTTGTGGGAATGGGACAAGTACGGATAGCCTCTTTAGCGGCAATGTCCGCACTCTCATTTAAGGACACACCAATATGGCTAGGAACCCAGCAAATCTACTGGATATAAGAAACAGCCAATGTTGAATATCGACTACCACCTGATGGACTGGATTAAATGACACCAGAGCCACGAGGCCACTGCGAGAGTCAACTACGACAACAAAGGAAAACTGAGTGAGAAAACAGTTGACGATGACCATACAGAATTGCATAAAGTTCTGTCATGAAAGTGCTACTCTCCGAGGGCAGGAAACACATTATTTGCTATTATTTATATATACAAGAGTTCTTACGCAGGTAAGAACTCTTGCGTAAGTTCTTAAGCAATGTAAGAGTTCTTACATTCTTTTAAAGCCACTAGCACGCATAGCGTTTCGGGCAGACACTTAAATCCTAATTTTCCCTGGAATGCGACCCACCAAATCGCTTAACAACCAGGTACCCATTCACTGCTGGGTGAACAGAGGCTACAGTTCAGGATTGGCGCCCAGTCCATCCTCCTCTGACAGGATACGAGCCCAGGCCAAAACACTGGTGATGCGCCGGGCGAGTGTTTTACCACTGCGCCACTGGGACAAAAATATAGGTATATAGATGCGACCAAGAAATATAACGGAGTAGCCTAGTACACAGTCGGGAGACCTAGACCCATCTGTGAAGACGGAAATGGGGCGGGAGTGTGAAGGAAAGTGTGCAAGGAAAAAGGCGTTTCAGAACTGTTGGAGGAGTAAAAGGTTTTGTCATGTGGGTCAGGGTTTGAAAAGAATTTGAAACAGAGGCCCTCCACGGGGGCAAGGATGGAATGACATGAGAAATATTAGTAACACAACCCGAGAGAATCTTGCACCAGAGGAGTACTCACCAGGTTGGGGTTGGTGTGGTTGGGGCCAGAGGAGTACTCACCAGGTTGGGGTTGGTGTGGTTGGGACCAGAGGAGTACTCACCAGGTTGGGGTTGGTGTGGTTGGGGCCAGAGGAGTACTCACCAGGTTGGGGTTGGTGTGGTTGGGACCAGAGGAGTACTCAGAGGAGTACTCACCAGGTTGGGGTTGGTGTGGTTGGGGCCAGAGGAGTACTCACCAGGTTGGGGTTGGTGTGGTTGGGGCCAGAGGAGTACTCACCAGGTTGGGATTGGTGTGGTTGAGACCAGAGGAGTACTCACCAGGTTGGGGTTGGTGTGGTTGGGACCAGAGGAGTACTCACCAGGTTGGGGTTGGTGTGGTTGGGACCAGAGGAGTACTCACCAGGTTGGGTTTGGTGTGGTTGGGACCAGAGGAGTACTCACCAGGTTGGGGTTGGTGTGGTTGGGACTAGAGGAGTACTCACCAGGTTGGGTTTGGTGTGGTTGGGGCGAGAGAGAAGGACATCATAAGGAACAAGATCAGCAGTGTCGAAGCCCAACTTCAGGAAGCGATCTTGTATCATGATAGCGAGCTGGTCGTCCCTCTCAGTGCCGGCCAGGTGGGGCCTCTTGGTCAGCTCCCTGCAACGTACACAACACTTGCAACACACAACACTGGCAACACACTCAACACTGGCAACACACTCAACACTGGAGTATAAAGTCTGACAACATAACATTCTATTTTCGAGAGTTGAAACGGAATATGTAATCCTACAACGATATATTATTACATAGCACTATTCATGTACTGTAATCTCGGATAATAACTGGGGAGAAGGGGGTGGGCTGAATGTGAGGGGGGGGGCCTGACTGTGAGGGAGGAGGGGGGCTGACTGTGAGGGAGGAGGGAGGCTGACTGTGAGGGGGGGGCGCTGACGGTGAGAGAGAGGGGGGGCTGACGTCAGACAAACACCCCCACCCACCACCCCCCCTATCATGCAGACACACATGGGTAGTTCGCTTTATACTCCATTCAGTGTTCATTTATACCTTCCCAACTTGCTCCTGTGCCAGGTAAGTTCACTACGGGCTCACCATAGCCCGTGCTACTTGGAACTTTTGTTCTGAGTAGCTGAATCTAAAACTAACTTCGTTTACATTTGTTTACCGTTATAAGTTATGTACATTTTTGCCATCAATTAGTGTACATTTACTACTGTTATTGCACATCCTTACATAATTTACTTACAAAATGTATTTTCATTAACATACACAACGAGCAGTATATATATACACATCCACAGGGTCAATATACACCCCCCCCCATCATACAACCGCAAGAATACTCACATGAGGTTGTTTCTGAGGTTATCTGTGCTGACCAGGTCAATAATCCTCTTATTAATGTTCTCCTCAGACTTCCATCTATCCGTCACCAGTCTGCCCATCACGCTGCAAGTTCAAACATGATATACTGGTTACTAACATGATTTGATACACATAAATATTGACCAATATTTAGTATTTTTAAATATTGGCCAATATTTAGTATTTGTTATTTAATATTTAGTTGTTAGAATTATTGACATATTCTATGAGTAATTTGACATCAACGTTTAAAATAAATCATTATTGGAAACTTTGATTTAACTATCTTACTTTTGCCTAATTGTAGACATATTAGAATTCATTATCTATATTAAAATTATTGTTACTCTAGATATAATTGCTTTTATATTATTAGCTATACAAGTTTCAATATTTATATAATTATTAAAACATTGTCTAGATTACTGTTTTTACTAATAATAATATTAACATTAGTAATCGTTATTTATACAGAGAGAGAGAGAGAGAGAGTGTGTGTGTGTGTGTGTGTGTGTGTGTGTGTGTGTGTGTGTGTGTGTGTGTGTGTGTGTGTGTGTGTGTACACTCACCTAGTTGTGCATGCTGGGGTTGAGCTCTGGCTCTTTAGTCCCGCCTCTCAACCGTCAATCAACTGGTGTACAGATTCCTGAGCCTACTGGGCTCTATCACATCTACATTTGAAACTGTGTATGGAGTCAGCCTCTCTATCACATCTACATTTGAAACTGTGTATGGAGTCAGCCTCCACCACATCACTGCCTAGTGCATTCCACCTGTTATTTAGTATTTTACTAAAATTAGTAATACTAGTGATGTGTGTGTGTGTGTGTGTTACAAACACACAAGGGAACTTGAGCACACACACACACACACACACACACACACACACACACACACACACACACACACACACACACACACACACACACACACACACACACACACACACACACACACACACTGAACTAGTGATCACCGGGCTAATAACCTCCGCAGATTTTCAAACCATCTTTGGTCCCGTAACTATTGAATCCCCGGCCTGGTGGCGGATCTAAATAGAGGCACCGAATGAAGGAAATGAATGAAGAATCCACCATACCATGATACTGTTGATCAGCCTGTTGTTATCAGTTAATTACTAATCTTTCCACTATAATAGCCAGCCATCCCACCACCTCAGTCTTAGCTGAGGAAACTACATACTTCAAATTCAAACTCGTAACTGATTACGAATGACTGAAAGCAGTGGCACCTGCCAACAGGTGTATTCATGAAGCAAGCTCAACCCCCGCAGGCAACAATTAGATGAATGTACACAACACACACACACACACACACACACACACACACACACACACACACACACACACACACACACACACACACACAGGGACCTGACAGCTGAGTGGACAACGCTTCGGATGCTATTCCTGAGGTTCCGGGTTCGATCCCCGGTGGAGGCAGAAACAAATGGGCAGAATTTCTTTCACCCTGTTGCCCCTGTTACCTAGCAGTAAATAGGTACCTGGGAGTTAGACAGCTGCTAAGGAACTGCAGCTGTCTTGCAGCTGCCTGGTGTGTAAGAGAGAATTATATGTGTAGTAGATATGATAGAAGAAAATAGGTTGGAAGTTAGCACATTAGACAACCGACGGTTAGAAAGGCGGGGTCCAAGAGCTAACATCTCGAACTTGCAAGCAAAACGAGAAAACACACACATACACGTGCTCAACAAGTCTCAAAAGCTGATAAACGTGAATTGTGGGGAAAGTCTAAGAAGTAATAAACATCAAAACATGGAACGCTAAAGAAAATTGGGAATACATGATCACCACATACAAAATACTCAATGAGCACTGATTCTTTGGCATTGGTGGTAGTGAACGTGATGAAGGAAAAATAAGTATTAAAGTGCCTGTCTGAGACAGAAGAAAGCGCTTAAACATAAAAAAATCTGAATATATAAGTAATTATATATTAAATTTTTCAAGAAATGTAGAAATACTTGATCCTGCGTCACCTGCTTACCAACAAGACCATTCCTCCACCATCTGATAGACTAATGGGTGTAGAGTCAACAATTACCTAATAATATAAAAACAAAATTTTGCAAGTATTTACCTACTTATAAGTTTCTTAGATTAAGGACCTGCCCGAAACGCTGCGCGTACTAGTGGCTTTACAAGAATGTAAACACCATGCTATGTATCCTCACAATCCCAATGTACCTTTTTGTATATATATAAATAAATAAAATGGGTTTAAGCAATCAGAGTGACCCTCGCACTGACCTGATCTTCTCTTTGTCGCTGTCCGAGACGGTCTCAGTGCCGAAGTGACCAATCAGACCACCAATCAGGAGGCCGAGTGCCGCCGTGGCAACTGCCACAGCTATAGTTTGTGACACCATCTGTCAACAGATAGACAATGTAAGAAAATAACATACAGTAAGACACCTAAAGTTAAGGCCTGGCTATAAGCCAAATGTTGAAAACTACACAAATCAATTCACGTAGCCTAATTATGAATACATTGGGACATCTTTTGTATTGATGCTGATGTTGTATTGAGAGGTTCACGGGGCATACAGAGTGTGTGCGCCCTAAACATCTGCATTACACCAATATGCCTAGCATATTGCTGTAATGCAGCCTGCTATTGAAATACTTAGGTAAATCGTGTAGCAGTCTTCATATATGACAAAAATTGCGACAAAAGCAAACTGATATATGGTCATGACTACGATAATGAACCAGCCCGTCTTCCTAAGGTTTCCCAAACGTCAAGAAACTATCGTACTAAAGTGCTCTTTTCCTAACCTACCAAAGGACCCAAAACAGGCCGGGCGTATTTCCAGCGAAATCAGTTGCGAGTCGTGTGTAAACCGTTTTTCATTCATAAACAGGGTGGTTGGCGGGTGCATGGAATCACTTTTGGGTCTTTGTTTGGAGGACACACTGGGTTAGAACATTTCCGGAACAAGCAACCCGTCCTCGACTCAAGTCCATTGCATCCAGCGGTCGACCCCACAGACGCATTAATAAATTTTAACATGCTGTTCATTCAAAACAGGAATTTTCTCAAGTATAAATTAATATTATAATATATTAACATATTGTGTATATATAGGCATAGGTTAGGTTAGGTGTTTAGGTTCTGTTGGCGATTATTTGTATTTGTAGTACGTGGGTGAAGCATTTACAGCATTGTGGTTCGAACAAAATTCGTCAGTGAAACACTTGTTCCGGATATGTTCGAACGTCAGCAGTTGTGAGTCGTGTGTAAACCGCTTTTCATTCATAAACAGGGGGTTTGGCGGGTGCATGGAATCACTTTTGGATCTTTATTTGGAAAACACACTGGGTTCGAACACTTCCGGAACAAGTGCTTCACTGACGAAGTTTGTTCAAACCACAACGCTATAAATGCTTCACCTACGTACTACAAATACAAATAATCGCCAACAGAACCTAAACACCTAACCTAACCTATGCCTATAAATACACAATATGTTAATATATTATAATATTAATTTATATTTGAGAAAATTCCCGTTTTGAATGAACAACATGAAAAAAATTTATGAATACGTCTTTGGGGTCGACCACTGGATGGAATGGACTTGGTCTTAGGACGGGTTGCTTGGTCACGGTTAGTGCATAATAATGTCAGTTGGATGCGAGAGCCATGTCGGTATCTTTATCATTTATCAATTCTGATTGAAATTACCTACTTAAAATTATCTGCTAGATTAAGGACCTGCCCGAAACGCTGTGCGTACTAGTGGCTTTACAAGAATGTAAATACTGTACTATCCAATGTATTCTCACAAACCCAATGTACCTTCTTGTATATATATAAATAAATAAATAAATAAATAAATTTAGGAGAGCGGCCAATACTCGCAGTGACTCGTCTGGACAATATATGAAGCCTGTCCTTGACAGCGTCCAGGATCGGGATAAAATCATTTCTTTCCGCAGGAAGATTAAACTATATATTATGTCATCACACGGAAGTGGTCTTTATAGAAGGTCAGAGTGAGCCTGGATATAACTATGAAGTACTCTTAGTTAAAGGTGATGTTTGGGATATACTTAATGACATATTTAGAAGTCTTTTGGGATATACTTGTTAACATATTTAGAAGTCTTGGCCATATTCCCTTATCCAGCCCATTATCCTGAATAGCATATCACATTTTGACGTATAATTTCCCCCCCCCCCCCATAAGGCCAAAAACTAATGCATACAAAAAGCAGCCGTTCGCGAAATTGACGGTGATGTCCCGTTTTCTGTCCGTGGGTCGTCGGGTAGGTTAGGTTCGGGCAATTTAGTACATCAGTTTAGTGACGCTGGGAAGAACGGGCTGAACAACCATGTCAAGATCAGTATAATTTGGTCCGCTCGTTCTTCATAGTATAAATTATACAATTAGAATATTAGCATTCAAAATAACTGTAAGGAGGTAGATCGATATATATGCCACACAAACTACAGCATATTATATATATATATACACACACACCATCCACAGGAATGCCATCGACGAGGTCCTTCGTAAGAAGATCACTGACCTGAAGAGGATGAACGAGAGGATTGAAGACATCGATGCTCATGATGCACTTTACCTCATCACCAGATGCTTGTCCCTCCCCAGGCTGACCTACTTTCTAAGATGTTCGCCATCTTTCAACAATATTAAATTAGAAGAGTACGACAACTTGCTGAAATCAACACTAATCACCGGGAAGCAGCCAAGTCACGTAAATACAGAGACCTTGAGCACCACTACAATTTTGTCCCCATTGCCTTAAAGACACTTGGTGCCTGGGGTAAAAGTGCTGCTAGCTTTTTGAAGGAGTTGGGGACCAAGCTAATTGAAACAACTATAGACCCTAGAGCTGCCAGTTTTCTCTTTCAGCGCCTTAGTGTGGCAATCCAGAGAGGAAATGCTCACTGCATCCATGGTTCCTGTCCGCCATCTGAGGAGCTGGAGGAGCTATACAACTTGTGACAAGTAGCCTTGTACCCTGCATGTAACCAATGTTGTAACCCCTTTTGTGTAATGACATTTTCAAATAAAGTAAAGACAACAACGTCTCTTTCCAGGCGATTAACAGTGCATAAACAACAGGGCTCCATAAAGGAACATATAATCTCCTCTCACAACCAGACCATCACCTATCATCATACTATCATGCAAGAGGAGCCACACATCTATGGATCATCCAATAAAATCAGCAGACTTCTAGATATTTTTTTTTTTTTTTAGATATATACAAGAGTTGTTACATTCTTATACAGCCACTAGTACGCGAAGCGTTTCGGGCAGGTCCCTGGAATACGATCCCCTGCCGCGAAGAATCGTTTTTTCATCCAAGTACACATTTTACTGTTGCGTTAAACAGAGGCTACAGTTAAGGAATTGCCCCCAGTAAATCCTCCCCAGCCAGGATACGAACCCATATTCTTATGGGTTAATCAACACACTGGTTCTAAACTAACCAAAATAAGTACACCTGATAGCTAAGGAGGCCAAATGGGTATACAGAGATCACTACAAGGAGTATTTTACTTACAAATGACAAAAGGAACATCTTCATCAGATTCTGAAATATATTAGGCATGCAATTATGAGAAGACAGGCAATGTACAGGCAGATTTTCAATGATTAACCAGTGTCTTGAGGAATTCAAAATTATCAAAAAGTGCCGAGTCAGCACAACTACTGTACACAGCAATGAAATCCAGAAATAAACTAATAAATGCATTACAATATAATGTCAAGCCTAGAGTGAACCTTTTTCTTTTTTTTGGGGGGGGGGGGAACCACAACTTACCTGGGAAACAATGCTGAAATTAGTCATCAGGCAATTACCGATTCCCACTGACTGACTGTCATCTACAAAGGGGGAATATTCCTAGAGCATTTTTAGTACAGTATAGGGATAAACACTCACATCTGTTTTGACCCAGAATAAAGCAAAAAATGTCATGGCATGAGGTCAACATCCATAGAGTTAAAAAAAGAATTGTCCTAAAATAGGTAGATCTTATTTAATATATGTACACTGTCTTTATAGCTCCTGCTATTAAAATCAACAATTTTGGCGATGGAGCGATCCAGAGGGCAAACAGAACCGAGTTTGTCCTATAAAATATCCAGACTAAGTTTGCCACAAACTGACCCTACATACCGCAAGTCCAATAAAGAGTGTGACGATAATCTCCTTCAAGAGATTGAGCCTGCTCTTCCCTCCATAATTCCGTCTTCACAATTATATAAAACGACTATGGAAGACATGTCCAACAACGACAACAACACCAGCAAGGCTTGCCAGGGTGAGCAAAAACGTATGCAGCCAGCCACCTGTTCGGACCCAAATCACCAAACTACATGTTGATCGCTGCCGGCTGCGCTGATTGGTCGCCGGTCTGGCTGCACCTGCACTCGCCCCCCATACTACCTGATGTCTGGGGTCGCCCCAACATCAGTCTCCAGAATGTTCAGTGCTTTCGTGGCCATCACACCTCCCAGCTAGACTCTAGCGTGTACTGAGAGAGGTGGTGGCTTTAAGCCAATATTCCAGCACCTCCCACTTAACTTTTGTTGCACTTCTTATTATTTTGCCTTAACGTAACTTTTCATTGTGTCATTTAAGTATTCTTATTATTTTGATTGATTGATTTTATTATACATATTTGTTTGTGCATTTTATTCATGTTTTAATTTATTTAACGTAATTAAAATTTCATTGTTAAAGTTTACTTGTGTTTTGTGTGTCTTCTCCTTACCTTACCACAGACGAAGTTCCAGTTTTTCTATTTTTTTTTTATAACTATGTGACGAGGCCATACCCCTAGCCTTAAACAGCCGAACACCAACGCGTTACCGTCACAAGAGTGAGAGTTAAACAACAAAACATTGAAAATGGGAAATAGACCCCCCAAAATAAGGAACACATTTGAAAATTCTACATCCAAAAGACCCTGAAGTACATTAATATTTGCAGTGGAGCACCCATCAAATAATATTTGTCATAAGGTACTCAAAACAACAAGTCCTGCGGCTACCAGAACTTCGGACAAGCCTGAAAAACACTTACGGTATAATGATACTAATTTCAGGTTTTATTTCACTCGCTTGAAGTTCAAGGAAATATGAAAATTACATTTTTATACTTGGCTGTCACAGAACCAAATTGAAGATCATGACTTCCATTAAAACCAATAAACAGTACAGAAACATTCCTTGTGTAATATATTGATGACTTGTACCAAGGACTGTGTTTGTGTATGAATTTTCAATTGAATTTATGAATGAATTTGATTTCTAAACAAATCATCAATCTACACATATACAAAGTACCAATCTGGAAACATCCATAACTCTTGCTTCATATGTTTTCAACT